GAGTTATTCAGGAACGTCATAACAGTATTCGTAATAATAAGACTACTTTAGATACCGAGGATTGCTAAAATAAGATATTAATATTATTATTATTTATTTATTTGTTGAGCATCTATTTATTGTTATTCTGTTTCACTAAAATAAAATATTTGTGATATATCAACTTATTGGCATATTCTAACTCATGATTAATATTTCTTATAGTATTCAGATCAGAGGAAGAATATGGTTCTAATGGTTACGAAGTTTTTTTCCTTCTTATATTTATTATTTTATATCATAATATCATGAACATCAATTAATTGTGTTAAATTAGTTATATATTTATTGTTTTGATCAGTAGCAAATGTAAAATGTCGAAATATTGGAATTGATTTTGACGACGCAATTTGAAGACATTGCCCATGTTTTATGGTACAACGTCCGATGTTAACTGTTTGTGCATCAACATATCATAGTAGTAATAGAAATAATAAAACAGTTGACTTTAGTGAATATGAAAAGGTTTGAAAACTTATTCAAGAACGTCATTACAGTTTAGATAATAAGACTATGATAAATGCTAAAGATTGTCAGCAGAAATTTTATGTATTGTTTTGTTTAACTAACTAAAATAAGAGATTTTTTGATAGAAATGTTATTAACAACTAGTTGTAAAACAACACATATGTTGTTTAAGAGAATAGAATGATAAATAATTCTTTATTATATTTTAGGATTACATCGATACTATAAAACTTATCGAAAACTTTGAACCAATCACGTTTTGCTAGCGAAACATTCAAAGTTGTATGCAATGTATTAATACATATTATTTTTCTTTAAAAAGTGACATTTTTTCTTTTTCTTGTTTACAATAATAGCTAAATTCATGTTGAGTAACATGCCGTAGAGTTTTTTCTTTTTCTTATTCTTCATTTGTTTATTCAAATTTTTTTCTCTTCATCAGTCTACGTTACTTGCCAGTTTTGTTCGTCGTCTATCAACATATTATTCAACAAAAATCTATGATGTCGTTAACTAATTCGGGCCGTTTTCTTTTAAATTATGGACTTAATTTTGTATCAGCTATTCCATTAATTGGTGTATCAAAAATACTTTTCCGTCGATATCCAATTTCTGGTCTTGCATTAACTATATCGAATTCTGTTCTTTCAACGGTTTTTGCAACTATCGTCCTCATATTTATCTCAAAACCTCCACCAAATAGTCAAACATCGACAAGTCGACTTCAAGCATTTCTTCGTATGCTATTTATTTCCGGAACGTTTACCGGATTTATAACATTTAGTAATTTATCATTACAATATAATCCAATTGGTACATATCAAATTATGAAATTACAAATACCACTGATTTTAATGATTATTGAATATATTCAACTTCAATTTGGATTCAATTCTGCATTATTAACAAAAGAAAAATTTCATCGAGATTATTCGACATCAGTTTTATATGCTTTTGCTATTATTGCTATCGGTAGTACAGTTAGTATATGTTTTGATCGTCGTTTTCATCTCTTAGGCTTTGCTTTTGCTTGTATAAGTATTTTATTTAATGCACTTTATCAAGCGCAAGTACAAGGTGATCAAGTATCGTCAACCTATGAACGAATGCGTTTTCTACAAATTCAAACATTAATATCTCTCGTGTTACTTTGTCCTGGTTGGCCATTTCTTGATAATACATTTGAATACAATAAATATTTATTTACACGTTGGGATGCATTATGTTTATTATTTCTATGTGGTTTTCTTGCATTTCTTGTTAATTTAAGTGTGATTTGGTGTATAAAAGATGTTACTACTATTAGATTTAATATGGTTGGACAATTGAAAACTTTCTTCCTTGTAGGTGTCTTATCCATATTCTTTGGTGAATCAATAACATTCTATCAAATAGGTCCTATTTTATTTACAGCAGGAGGCTGTATATATTATGCATATAGTATAAATAAGAATGAAGAATATTATAAGCATCAAGCACGGATGGTACCAAATAATATTTAATAAAAAACTCAATTGAAGAAAAAAATATACTGAATGTGTTTTTCTTTTTCTTTTTGTACTTTTCTTTAAAATAATAGCAAACGGGAATAAATAATGATGTACAAATATTTAGCTGAATATTTTAAATTTATTTCATATTTTATTTAAAACGTTTAATCTTATGACTATTTTACGAAATTGATTGAAGTATAACGATTTAGATATTGAGTGTGAATGAGAGTTGCAAAAAATAATATAGATCTGTAGCCTTTTGATATAACATTCGAAGAGATCAGTTTACGAATGAACAAAAAACAATGGGCTATCTTCTCATCGTTCAATTCTTAAACAGTGAACATTGTTACGAAAACAAAGTTGAACTTCTCTTTTTCTTAATAAGACGTTTGGTTCAAAGACGATGATTCATTCTTCTGCATATATATAGATACATTTCATGAATTCCAATTGGTCCAAAAAAATTCTTTTGCTCCTTGTTTTACCATATTTATATTTTAGATCAATCAAAAAAAAACAAAATATGGAACAGTGTTTTTTAATCTTAAATGATGATTTAACAAATAACAATGGGATTGAAATTCGTTTTGTTTTAAGGATAAAACAATTATAAGATTAATTTTAGTTGAATATGTATATTCAAAGCTTGTAATGTTACTAAATATTGCAAGTTGAAGTATTAAATATAAAAAAAAACTGGTACTCAAATGAAAGAGGTCACAAACTTCATTTACAAATGGTTTAACAAGGTCAGAGAAATCTAATTTCTTACATATTTTTTTTATTGAACAGTTTGAATTAAGAAGTGAAACTGATGTGTTTGTTACTCAGTTTCTTTCGTATAAATACGACAAAACATATAATCTATGAATAAGATTTTTTTTTACAAATATAATCTCATAAATCAATAAAACGTTCATCTACGATAATCATCTATTAATCTTTCAGATCTATCTCTAATGTCTTATCAAAAAGTTCAGAATTTTAAATGCCGATGTCCACTTATACTTCCTGGTTAGTTATTGATTTATTTATTAGATTTTATTAATAAATTTCATCATTTTTTTCATATATAATTAAGGTGCATATGGTCTTAACGAATCTCATCAGATACCAAATACTCCATGTGATCGTTCATCAAACGATGTTTTTCTTAATCAACATCTTCAATGGTATCATAATTTCGATAGTGTCTCTGCTCGAAAATTAGTTCGCGCTATTTGTAATAATATCAATCCAAATGAACATTTATTTACAACACATGAAGTTGTACTTAAACAAAACATATCTGTTGAAAATTATAAATGTAATTTCAATTAAAAATAAACAAAAAAAAGACTTATTTTATTTTATTAAGGTAAATGTCCACTAACACATGATGGTGTGTTTGGTTTATCAGATGAACATGATATAACAAATATTCCATGTGGTAAATTTATTATATATTCTTAATAAATTTTCAATTAAATTCTCTAGGACGAGCTGATAAAGAAGTTCTATGTTTTCAACATTTACAATTTCATCATAATTTATCTTCTCGTGCGGCGAAAAAAATAGTTCAAGCATTAGTTTCATATACACCTAAAGTAACACAACTTTTTCATAATAATGATCTTATAACACAATCAAAATGTGCTGTAAGAAAACTTAAAAGTAAATGTCCACTTCTATCTCGACATATCTATGGTAAATTTGCTTTTTGTTTTGTGTTATATAAATATGTACTATTTTCGTAGGTTTACATGAACAACATCATGTACCAAATATTCCTTGTGATCGTGCTGATCAAGATATATTTTTATTTCATCATTTAACATATTTTCATAAATTAAATGCTAAAGCAGCAACAAAATTAATTCGAGCATTAATTATGAATAAAGATCCACTGGAACCAATATTTTATTCGAATGATATTATTGTTGTATCAGATCAAGTCGGAAATTCTCGACAAGATAAAGTAAAATCGAAATCTAAAACGAAAAATTATCCACAAAATATGGTTGATTTTTCTACACATGTAAGATTTTGGTAATAAAATCTTTATTAAAATAATATAATTTTATTTTAGTATCAAACTCTTCTCAACGCGATTCATACCACGAATTTTTCAACATCAATTAATAAAAATTCAACAGATAGTAAGACATTAATTTTAATTTAATAATAATAAAAAATCCTTTTTTTACATATAGAATTTGATACTAGTATGATGCCACTTGATTGCAGTAAATGGAAACAACAATCTTGTCAAGTAAGTTCTTGTTTAAAACTTATGCGATTTTAAATGAATAGTTAGTTAGTAGACACGTGCTACTACATCAGTGTGAAAACTTAAATAATTACAAAATATAAGAGTTCTGAATTCGATCAGTGATAGTAATATCTACTCGAATATATGTATTCTAAAAGTATTAAATTCAATTAAAGTCTCACATAAATATATGTTAGGGTCAAAATTAGAATTTTAATTATGTCCGGACAGAATTAGAATATTGTCGAGTTCGACTATAAAACTTGATTAAAAATCAGTAAGGAAAATAGGTAAAAGGCAAAGACTAATAGTGAGTATGTTGTATAGGACTAAAGTGTTAGTGTATTTGAGACCGCTAGAATTCTCATAGACAATAAGATTTTGACTGAAACTCAGGTTTTCCGCGATTATTCATCCTTATCTTTACTCTCGTATTCGAAGTTCATCACCCTCATCAACTCCTTCGCGCCACCATCACTATCAGTCTCAGCCTTTTACCTATTTTGCTTACTGGTTTTTAACCAAGTTTTATTGTCGAAACCGATAAAATTAGAATTCCAATTTTGCCTGATTAAATTCTAATTTTGACTCTAACATATCCTCTTTCTCGTAAAGAAGAGTCCAGTAAACATAAATTGTCTGATTGATTGCTTGTGTGTCCGCAGGGTCAAAAAAATATCGAAAACTAATTTTTCGATACAGAGACTTCCAATCTGAGGCCTGTTGGGTGACCATGGTGACGGAGGTAGGTGAATAAGGAGAAAGGTCAAAAGAACATTGAATACCGATTTTTCACGGTTTTCAATTGTTTTTTCAGTAAATGCGAAGAGGATGCATTTCTACGAGAAAGAGCTAAGCGAGTCCTCGGACGAGCGTTACTTGTATATATATATCAAGATTTCTAAAGTATCATCCATGTAGACCGAATTATGACTTATATAAAATAATTGTATTTATTTTTCTTAGATACCTTTTCCATATACAACAACCGATATGGCTCATGCACATGATCTCGATTTGGATTCTTTTCTAAATTAATTCCGTATTTGATTGTAAATAATTCGCATGTTAATGAAATTTTCTTTTGTTCCTAATAGTCCAGTATCTTTTTTTTCTTGTATTTTCAACAAAAAATAACAAAAGCACAATAAACAATTCTGTTATAATGTCTTAGCATATTGCTGATGAAATATCACCAGAAAAATAAAAAAATTTCTACATTTACATTCTTGTCATTATTTATACTAACATACAGAGAGAGAGACAAAAAATATATATTCACAAAGAAATGAGTCATTATTTTTATAAAGTTGGATCAATATTTGATAAATCGAGATCAGCCCATAATTTAAAATCGCCAAGTGCTTGAAGTTGATTTAAAAATGCTTCTTGTGTTTGTGGATCAGCTGATGCTAATGCATCAAGTAATAGTGGATCAAATTGTTGTTGAGATAAAGCATCATCCATTGAAAATAAATTTTCATTTAATAATAAATTATTATCATCATCATCATCATATTCAATATTCTCTTCAAGTTTAGGTGTATACGCATCTGATGATGATGCATCTGATGTATCGACATGTGTTGAAGAATTATTATTTAATAAACCTTTTCTTAGACGTTTACGTGGTTTATATTTATAATCTGGATATTCAAGTAAATGAAGCATTTTTAATCTCTCAGCTTCATCAATAAATGGACGTCGTTCATTTTCTGTTAAACGTTTCCATCGTGCACCTAAATATTTTGATATTTCTGCATTATGCATATCAGGTGCTAATTGAACAATTTTTCTTCGTTCAAGTTGAGAAAAAACCATAAATGCATTCATAGGTCGTTTTATACGATTGACACGTTTTTTTGATCGCGTTCGTGTTGCATCTGAATATGGAGTTTGTGTTGATGGTTCAATTAATGTTGAACCAAAACGAGATGGTGGTTGAATATTTGATGATGTCAAAAGATCAACTAAGACTTTTGTTTTATTATAAACTTGTTCATTTTGATTTTCTTTATTCGCTAAAATAATAGAAGATATTTTTAGTTTACTATTGAAAAGAAAAATTTAATTTTACTATTTGGTGGAATCGATTGTTGAACAACATTTATGGGTGTTTCAAGAAATTTCGTTATATTATTATTCTGAGAAGGTACATTTTGTAATAAAGCTATTTGATTTAAATTATTAACAAGTGTAGATAAATTTATAGTATTTTGTCCGTTAATTATTGTTGGATTATTTGAAAGTAAACGATTAACAGTTACTGGTTGTTGTGGTTCTAATTTAATCGAATGATTATTCATAATGACAACAGTTGGTTTTGGACTTGTTGAAGATTTTATAATTGGTGTTGTTGTAATTGCACGTAATCTCTGTAGAGATGCATCACCGATATGTAAAGGATAGATTAAATTTCTACTAAGAGATGAAGTATTTTTAACAGCCGGTATCATTATTGCACCGGATAAAGTTGTCGATGATAAATTCATATTGACAAATTTCGACAATTACTGCTCACTATAAATAAATTGTTGTTGTCATTAAAAATGGACGGCAGCGGTCAGATCATTATATATTACAATGACGGACGAATGGAAATGTATGTACGTATGTTTTCTTTTTCGTTGAAAATATTGACCGATGTGTATATTCCCGGAAATGACGCTGACTGCGTGTGTATATCTATTTTTTTTGCTCTTTCTCTTTATTCGTACGTTCGGATGGATAACAAGCGCACAGCGGACAGACAATTCTCTTGTTTCCGAATTGAAAGAAAAAGGAAGAAGAAGAAGAAAGTTTATAGTAGGTGTCGGTCAACTAGAGAAAAAAAGTATATATGAGAATAGTTATACATATATATGTATGATCTTGAACATCTGTCTTTGTATTTTTCATTTGAACGTGATAAATATCATTTTTATAATATTAGGATAAAGATAAAAGAGACAAAAGAAAAAATATCAAGATGTCCAACAATTCCAATGAATGAATCTCATGACAATAGATAAATAAAATCGAAAATATCAATCATAAATCTTATCAAATTGATAATCATAAGATTTTTATTCAAGATTAAAAAATATTGTGAATTTTTCGAGTGCATGAATAAGAATTCTTGTTATAAAACATATCATTGTTAAAGCTCTATGTTTTATTAGATATGATAGAAAATTTTCAGTTCATCATTTTTATTAAAAATCAGTAATCGTTTCTTTTCTACTTAAATCATGTTGTAGTCAAATATTTGAAGTATGAACACATTCGAATAGTATGTAGTATACAAAGATCACTTAATGCGCTTATACAGATTAAAATCAAAGAAATCTAAAGAGATTAGTAGTCTATTGACTAGACATGCTTCTATTAAAGTTGAATGTGTGAATTAATGGAAATATATCTTATAGTATTGAATCATTCTAGAAATTTAGTTTAGAAAAAAAATGTATGATCAAAGATAGTTTAACAATTAATCTTATATAAATTACATTCATTTTCATCATGTTTTATTTCTAGAATCTTTTACATTGATATGTATATCAACAAAATCTACTTGTCAATCAAAACAAAAAGAAACAATACGGAAGACGATGAAAAATATAAAATTTCCTATAGATGAGTTTTTACTTTATGCAGCTGTTTTTTGACTATTTGAATCTTTGAGAATACGATCCAGATACTGTTTAACTTCAGGCCATATTTTATCACTTTCACGTCCAGTAAATTCTTGAAGAAGACCTAATTGTCTAGACAAACAACAAAGAAAAGTTCAATTCAATTGTAAAATATTGAAATAGAAGTTTACTTGTAAAATTCTTTTATTGGATTTGTATTTTTATCATGTGTATTTAATCGATGACGAATAACTTCAGGTTTATCATCTTCACGTTGTGATATTGGTTCACCTGTTTCATCATCTTTTCCAGCTACTTTAGGTGGACTCCATTGAAGATTATAGACACGTCCACTTGGTAAATGAACCCATCTATCTTTCAATCGATTAATAATTTCATCAGCAGGTACATTAAGTGCAATAACATGATTCACTTTCATTTGTCGATGTAACATTTCTGCTTGTTTTAATGTTCGTGGATAACCTATTTTATATTGAAATAAATCAAAATTTTTATATTAATATATATATAGTCATACCATCGAGTAGAAAACCTTGATCACGAATTTTTTCAAGTTCATCAACAACAAATTTTAATACAAGATCATCAGGTAAAAGAAGACCTTTGTCTATATGTTCTTTAATTGTTTTACTTTCGTCTTTAATAAAAAAGTAAAGATATAAGCCATTCATTTCATTTTAAAGATTTATTACCAGATTTTCGTTGAATATGCTGACGAAGTAAATCTCCGACGACAATATGAGGCGTGCCATATGTTTTAGCTATTCGACTGGCAATCGTACCTTTGCCAGAACCAGGTGCACCTAATATAAGTAATCGACGAGCTATTTGAGAAGTCATTCTATGTGTTAGGGAATTCTAACGATAACTAAATAACCAACTAGTTTCATTGTGTATGAATCATTCTTAGCTTAATCTATTAACGTTATTTGAAGCGACATTGTAGAGGTCGATCTCTGACAGAATCAATTCAAATTCGTACTTGAATTATTTAAACAGAAAATAGATTAGATTTTTTATTTCATAGAAAATCAAACAAAATAAGATTTACGATGAAATATTATTCACTGTTAAATTTGTTTCAAGTTTAGCGGATTGTTGATGAGTAAGAATCCATTCAGCAAGTCGAGCACTAGTTAAAAAATCTGTTGAACATGTACAAAAATCCCAAAATAGATCATCTTGTATTAATTTATCAAGTTCAATTAATTCATTAACTGTAATTTGACGTTCATCATTTGAATGAATTAATGGTGATTTTAATACTAATGGATCAATTTCGACAGTAAAACTTTTGAGTAGATCATCAAATAAATTATCATCTTTATCTTCATTAATATTTATAGATGAATTTTTATCAAAAAACTCATTAGTTTTATATGTATTTGATGAATAATTTATATTTCGATTTTGTTCAAGATAACGAAGTATAGCTGGATTAACAATAACACGACCTCCACTGATTTCGCTTGATGAACTTGTTGGTATTATATCGTCATCTGTATTATTAAATTCAGTTTTTTTCGGTCGATTAATTTTATTGAAAGATGTTTGAATCCAATTTATATCATTATTAGAATAATTTATAGTTGATTGTGGAATAGATGGTTGTGTAGAAGAAGAAGGTAGAGATGATGATATTGATGTACGAGATGATGATGATGACGATGCTGGTAGAATAATTTTATTCGATTGATTTTTACTACCTTTTGGTCGTGGCATTTGATTAAATCAGATTTTTTCTTGTTATTAAATGAATTTGTTTTGAGAAAACGAAATTTCTTTTTTTTGCAACACGGCGCCTTATAATGAGCTTCTTTTGTTTTTCAATGATAAATTAATAGAATAGTATTTTAAAAGATATTTCATATATGAGATTATTTAGTCGATTGGGAATTAAAACGAATTGTTTTTTCTATAAATATTTGTACTCGTAATTTTGAAATCGAGATTTCTCTCTATAGAATTGAAAATAAATATTTTGCAGAAATATTCAAGAGCATACATAAGCTTATTCGAAGAAGAGGTTCAATCACTTGAGTTTGTTATGTACTCATAGTATATTGTTTTTCGAGATTTTATATATATAAAGGTGAAAATCAACTTTTTCTTTCATAAATCCAACTAATCCTAATAGGAAAAAAATATATAAACAATCACAGCTTTATTATTATCCGATGTCAAGTATTCTTCTATCTTTACTAGATTAATTAAATTATTCTATTGTTCAAGAGTTCATAATGATAGTAGTGGTAGCCTCTTGCTAGCTGTAAGTAATATTTTAACCCTTTCACTTCCGGCGAGGCATATATTTGATTTAGAATATGATTGATATATGAATTCATTAGAATATAGTTATTGAATAAAGATGTCACAGATAGATTCTTTGATTATTCGGAAAAACATGTTATATTTAAATTATGATTAATGCTATGACATTTTGTTAGAACCCTGTAGTTGTACAATATTCATCATTTAATCTTTTTCGTATTTGTACATATAGACCATATGTCCCATAGTTTTCTTTCTTTTATGTGTGAGTTAAGTATTGATATATTCCTCGCGGAGCAGTTGTTTCCTGCGGGATCATCTTCTCTTAACTTATCATCATTTTAGTATCGGTTAAGATAAGAAAATTTCTTCTTTTTAGCACCTTATATAGAAAGAACCCAGCTGTATTGATATCTCTGTATGGAAATGAAGAATTATCTAGCCTACAGATGGATCAAATAACGGTCTATTGCTTCGAGAATTATCATGAAACACGAACTATAGTTTCCTTCAAATATTAACTAGAAATCGTATTAATAGATTGCTTTTTACAAAAATTTTAATTTCCGAGAAAATGTAAAAGGCAATGAGCTAAATAATTAATTTAAAAAAAAACTTTTAATTATGAGAATGTCATTGACGTCTAGTATCAGATCTTGAAAATAATAATGAAATATTCTCTAAAAATGAGTGATAATTATAATATAGATGTTAATATGCTGGTGTATCAGTGAACATAAATTCTGTTCTTATACGTGTTATTCAACAGATAGATTTTCAGAATCATTGTGCAAGAAACGAAACAATGCGAATATTTTAATAATAATAATTATTTTCTTTTCATGTTGATGAAAGGCAGACATATTCAGACTAGTGCATCAGTGATTATATCATTACACGCTTAATGCTATAAAAAAAATGTTTATTGAGTGTATTTTCTTGTTTTTTTCTTTCTATTCTGAAAAAAAAGTAACGGGAAACAAAATAAATGCAAAAACATTTTTTTTCTATAGAAGTTTGTTATTCTTTTTCTCTCAAACCTTTTTTTTTTTAGTTAGGAAATGTACCTATGACGAACTATCCAATTTTAACTCTACTTTTGTAAGTAAAACAATTTTTATTAAGTAATTAGTTAATGATATAATCTAATTAAGTTCGATAATTATTGATTGTAAAAAAACATTTATTTTAGGATAGAATCCAGATTCAAACTATTTATGAGGTCATAGTTAGAAATAAATAAATGCACTCTGTTTCATTTATAAGAAGAAAAAAAAGAGAGTTCATAGAGTTAATATCAATTGTCATCGTGTCATCTATTTATAAATGAGACTATTTAATAAACACAGACAAACTCAATTATCGTATTATATAACAATTTTAAGATAAATTCGTAAACATATACGATAAAAGATCATTACGAATGGTTATAAATTCTACGTTATTGCTAATTTTCTTTCGTACTATTAATTGTAGAAAGTATATTCTCTAATCAGTAATAACTGATAATATAGTAACAGTTCGTATCTATATCATAGAGTTATCTTGTCTTCTTAATAGTAAATAGTTTCTTTTAGTACTTCTAAATGATGGGGGCAAAGAGCATGCAAATGCTTGACATTAACTATAATTACCGAAGACGAGTCTAATCATTCTCGAGAGTTTTAAGAAAATAAGATCTAATCAGAAAAGAAAAAAAAAGAAGAAGCTATACAAATCCATCTTATGGTAGAGTACTTAGTCAATATAGAATTCTTATTTACAAAAAAATTTTGCATTTCCTTTTCTGATTTTTAATCAATCAATTATTTTGATCTTATATTCAAATGAATTATATAATTAAGCAAAAAATCTTTGTTTTTGTATATTAAGATTAGATTTGCTTTTTTTTCTCTTGTACTTCCTATTAACCCACATCTATTTTTGTGACCTATTACCCATAGTACGAGCAAATAATCATATCTAGAATTCTCAATGCAATATATTTTTCTCTTCTTAAATACAATTTTAATTGACATGTTAGCGCATTTGTTTTTTTCATTCAATATACGTCAGTCAAGTTTGTTGAATCGTGCATACTTTACTGACTTCCGATAGTAATAAGTGTCATTTTTGTCTGAGCACATGCCAAGTAATCATGTTCCTTTTTTTTCTCATAAAACCCGTTTGTAGACATATTTTACCATTATCTTTTTTGTATTAAGATCGATGATTTTGATTATAGCTAAAATATTTATGTTGACAGCTACGGATAGATGAAATATTATATGTTGTTTTCATACGTAAACAAGGATTACCAACATATGTAGACAATCGAAATTGTTGATTATTTATCATTATGATATATACTGAAAAATATTTGGTACTCTATTTATCATTTTTCTTTTCTAGTTGTATTTTAAATTGACATGCAACTGTATTTAATTAGAAGAAGAAGAAAAAAAGGTAAGACATTAAGCAACGTCATCATTATAAACTAATATCTTAATGAAATTGAAACGTAGATACACAGATATGTATATATTATTCATCAATAGAAAAAATCTATTTTAATATAGGAAAAGTATGATATTAATGTCCTAGCTATGCACCTCGATTAGAGATGAAGAGAAAAAGAACGCCAAAATTATTATACATATTGGTTACGCGTACGTCTATAATTTTTTATCTTTCTTATATCGACTGACAATTATTCGTTCCCTCTAACATGGTTGATAAGCAATGAGGCGAAGCCAATACTATTGATATATATATAAATATATATATATACATAATATATGCTCACATGTATGTACAACGTCACGCTATTGACATATTCAGCTAACAAATATCTACGATTAAAAATTTGCTCGACGCTTTGTTGTTCAGGTAAATTTTATCACTCAAAAGTCATGTTTTTATTAATAGACTTTGATAGTTTGCAAACATTAACAAACAAGAAGTTTATCAGTATCAAACATATTAATATTTATTTAAATTCTCATGAGAAATTGTATATGGTTATTTGAGATGAATAAGAATATAATAATGATGTGAATTGAAACCATAAGAGATTATTGAAATAACTAACAACAAAGAAAAAAAATATAGTATGATTTATAATGTGCGCATATATATTTAAGATAGAAAGAAGATCAATCATCTTTAAGATTAGTTTTATATTTCTTCTTGTATTACTGAGAAATGGTATCGACTATAGAATAAAAGAAATTGGTTTTCAGCATGATTCATGAATCGATTACAACACCTTTCTTTTTTTTAATCGTACGATATTTATATTTAGCGTTGTTCACTATATGAGAAATTTCCCTGCTTGACAATCAATAAAAACTACATCATTTTTCTTTCCTTTTTGATTAATTTAAGAATATCCGATGTTGTCATACGTCATTTTATTGTTCTTACAGACAGAAATAGAAACAAAATAATTTCAATAGGTATGTGATGCATTAGTATTTTCACAACATAAAAAAAAATTATAATTTAAACTTGTACAATGAAGAGAGGAAAAAAACAGGAATTGAGTTAGAATAAATTCTTTTCCTTAAAAAAAAAGCCAACAACAACAACAAAACAAAGGAAGGAATTCTATCTAAACCTTAGAGATTATTTTAAATAGATTTATCTCTTTCCTTTTTCTATATTAGTTAATCAAGCATAAAATTGCCCTTCATATAATTATATGAAGAAAAAAAAAAAAAAAGAAAAAGAAGAATATTATACAGATGGTAATAGTAAAACATACCAGTTGCTATCAATATGACTAACAGAAGTGTCATTTAATTATTTTCTCGACGTTCTCAAGAGACACTTTCACTAGCAAAAGATATTTCTATTTGATTTCTACGTTGGCTCTATCGATCTATATATAGTCAAGTAATCTAGAGAAGTAACAAATTAGTTTGATAAGGAGCAAAAAACAAGTTCTATTGGTTGTTTTTCGTATTGATCTATCTATTGACATGCAACACATCGTATATGTCTATTAAAATAAAAAAAAAAGCTCATTTCTTTTAGAGTTTTCTATCGATGACAATGATATAATAATCTTTTACTAATCGTCGACATAGGAAAAATGTAATGATGTCGGATGGAATCTTACTCAAAATCCCTCAAGTCATTCGTACTTATAATGTCACACGATCAATTAGTAGAACAACTACAGAAATATATTCAGCATCGATTAGAATTCAAACAGCAATACCAATTACGAAATCTTCGGATATATCACCAGCAGAATGTTTTGGTTTTGCTATACTTATTTTAACTACAATTATTGGTAATACACTTGTTCTTTCAGCACTTTTTCTTGATAAAAGACTTCATACACCTTCATTCTTTCTTATTGCTAATATGGCTATTGCTGATTTATTACTTGGTAAGATGAAATTTTTTTTTTCTACATAATAAATCAATCAATAGCAAAAATAAACTTTCATTTAGGTATAGCTGTTCTTCCGTTTTCATCTGTACTTGAACTTCTTAATGATCATTGGATATTTGGACAAAGTTTTTGTTCTACATGGCTTGCACTTGATGTTCTTTGTTGTACAGCATCGATTATAGCTTTAATGGCTGTATCAATTGATCGATATATTGGTGTAACAAGACCATTAAACTATAGTACTATAATGACAACTCGACGAACAATTTACTTAATAATTATTGTCTGGACTGTATCAATATTAACATCTGTTGTGCCATTATTTGGTTTAACTGATCGAAGAAAAATATCAAAAAATATCAATACAACATATGAACATTTAGAAAAATGTGAAGTCAATAAGAATACATTTTATACAATATTTTCTTCTATGATATCATTTTATATACCTGTTATTATACTTCTTATACTTTATTCACGTGTTTATCAAGAAGCAAAAAAACAAGAAAAAAAATTAGAAAGTGAAAAACGTCGTCTATTTGAAATTGATTATCAAAGAGCACACGAACAAGCTCAAAAACTACAAAAAATTCAATCAAATGGAAATTTAAGAAAAAGTCACAGCCCTTCAAATAAATCTGAAGACAGTAAAAATGGTGTATCAAGAAAAATTTTAAATCATGAAAATAGTGTTGATCATACTTTACCATTAGCTGATAGTATTCATTTAAAAAATGATTATTCAGATCTAAAGGTATGGTTATATGCAATATGAAATAATTCAATTGATCTATAAATAGCAATATATTAGAAATGAGAAAAACAAATGTTGTTTTTTCTTCGTACGATTCTTTAGTTTTTTTCAATTGAATTTTATCTAATATATAAAACTTATAATAATCTTCTATTTTCTAGTCAAAGGATAATGCTGACGATGATGATATATCTCAGTCTGAATCTTCAATGGCTCCTAAGAAAAAAAGAAAACGTGGTTTTTTGGGAAAACGTATATTTTCAACAATCAAACGAAATTCACTTCTTAGTACTACTACTCCTCAAACATCACATCGCAATAGTGCGTTATTACCAAATGATGAATTATTATTAATTAAACGTAGATTACATAATCTTAAACGTGAAAAAAAAGCTTTTCGTACAGTTGGTCTCATACTTGGCGCATTACTTATTTGTTGGCTTCCATTTTTTGTAACATTACCTGTTATGTCAATACTAAAACATCATGGAGTACTGAAAGATGAAAGTCATGAAAGTACATGGTTTAAAATTGCATTTTGGCTTGGTTATTGTAATTCAGCAGTAAGTTCAAAAGAACATTAATAAATATTTCTTTTTTTTCTTTTTTTTCTAATTAGCTTAATCCATTTGTTTATGCGTTTTCAAATCGTGCAATTCGTCGAGCATTTCGTCAAGTTATATTTCGGCGCTGTTGTTGTTGTATCTGTCCAAAACCATCAAATAATCCTGAAGAACAATATAGTAGTCAACGTCAACGTGGTCATAGTGGTTCATTAACTACAGATATATCTCAAGTAGTGACAAAAGGAATAAATTCATCATCAGTTGATACTATGCGAACAATACCAAGAACACAAAGTAATCATAATTATCCGCCAAGTTCATTAAGACGAACATCTACAACTGCTGCACCGATTGTTTCATTTGCTGATTTTCTAGAAGAAACAGGTGATGATGATATATCATCTCATGATGATAAGCAATCAATTAAGGAAGATCTGGAATCAACTTCAAATTCGAAAATCGACAAATGAACTATTCTTCTCGGCTCAATGTACCGGTGACCATTTATTTTTGTTCCAGTAAATTCATTGGTTTTTCTAAATAGATAAATTATTTTTCTCTTCTGCTTCTACTAAGGTTGCTTTTGTAACTGATTTCTTTTTCCATTCCATTTGAAGTCTTTTCTTTTTGTGGTTTTTTCATTTGTCTATTATATATTTGATTGCTTGTTTTTATTGTACAAAATGAATTGATTTTAGAAACATTATCTTTGAATTATAACATATATTATATAGAAGATAATTCAATTATTGATCAATAATCGTAAAGAGAAACAAAGATATTTTATTTTCATGTTATTTAATAAAAGAAGAAACACACATACACAAGTGATATTAAAGATACAACTTTAAGCTTAGTACTGTAATAACTTGCATAGATAAATAAAAAAAAAATCATGATTAGAAGTAAATTTTCCGTCAACTTGTTCAGTGCATAATGAATATAAAATAAAAATACAAAACATCAGATAAAAAATGAGTATGTTATCATAAGAATGAAAATAGATTAATATTTAAAAGCGTTTTAAAAACAGAAATCATAGATAAAATAGTGAACTTCTTGCTTAATATTGGTATGGAGAGATATCAGTAGAAACAAAAATGGAATCAAAAATATTGTTAGTTTTAACATTTTAATGTATTAAAAAATTTACAATAAGTATCACAGTGATGTCATACATCAATATGAATAGTAAATGTAAGTGTTGTCATAGATTCATGTTAATTTCGACGGACACGTGGCTCTAAAAACAAAGACACAAAAAATAAAATATTTCAAAAAAAGAGCGTAAGTTGAATACATACCAATAGTGAACTTGGCTGAGCTGCGTATGGTATTTCCATCGATACAAGAAGCTTCTGGATTACATCGCAATGCACATATTATAGAATAATGTTCTCCTTTAATTTTTTTTGAGGTATTTGTGCCGGTTGTTGAAGACTGTAACGAATAGTTGTGATGGGAAACAACGGATGGAGCATTGGGGAGAATGAAATCTTGATCAAATTTAACCAACGCCTCTGTGTTTGTGCTGTATCTTGCGTTAACTGCACGCATTAAGCACAGTGATAATCTTCACATAGATATTAAAATAAAAGAATATAGTGTATAAAATGAAACTAATGAATGAGTTGTTTTTATTTTAATGATATTTAGCATTAAAGACCAACAAAGAATCTATCACATCTGCTAACCTATTTTATCGTTGACTGTATAGCAAATATTGAGACTAATTAATGTTAATGTTTTTTTAAATGCTCATTGCATTTTGAAAAACTGAGATTTGTGAAGAAACACTTACTACCTTTAGCTTTTTGAAATATTTACTTACTTTATCTGGTAACTTATTTCACCTTCGGCAGTTTGCACCGGGTTTATTTGTTCACACGTAATTCGTTGTACCATTGGATCAGAAAATGGCGTATCAGATGAAGGACGATTTTGTTTTCCGAACGGCCAGAATCCACGAAATGGTGCTAAATAGAAATCTGGCACTTGATCCTGATTATTTCCTTGTGAAACAATGGCTGAGATTAAGTCAACTTGTCCACCAGCTTCTATGACTTTTACATATTCAATAGGAACCTGGAATAAATCCGATGGTAAAATTTTCTTCTTAATTAAAATTAATTTAATTCCACAAACCTGTAAAGTTGGGGGCCTACTATTTTTTTTATCATCGCCATTCTTGATTGTTTGGATCCCTCCCAAATTCTCTTCTTCTGGATATTGCAAACGTTGCTGTGGTGCAACATCATGAATGAATTTGAGCGGTTCACCAAGAAGTGGTGCCATAAAAATAAGCGTTACAAGGTCATCTAAGAACATAAAGTAAATCATATAGTTAATGGTTCATGGCTTTGAACAGGATGAGAGATGATTCTATCATTCCATTTCATAAATTATAGCTACGAACTATTGATAAATTGCTTATTTGGTTACTTATTCTCTGATCAACTATTTAAAATTTTGTTCAAGTATACAAACAACTTACCGCAGTTTAATGATGACCCAAAAATATCACCGGTAATATCAATTGTTGTAACAGGATCACGTAAATCTGTATGTTTTACATCTGCTGTATATAAATATAGAAATGATGTCAGCGTGTGATCATAAAAACAAAAAAATACCTTTCGATAAAATTGAAGATGTGTCTTGTTCTTCGTTAGTTGTAGATATTTCCATCTGATCATGATTTTCGCTCTCAGATGCGGATTGTATGGATGGAACGAATACTGAAAGATAAAGAATAAGTAGCTAAGTAGAGTATATTTAGTCGTTTTCTTACTAGGTTCCGTATTCGACTGCTCCTGGTCCGTTGATTCGATTTCTAGCTCGATTATTTTAGTGTCTGTCGGCGTTTCCCACGGTTTCTCATCTCTTAGATAATTATCATTAAGATCGACATATACATTTTGATCATCTTTAATTTTAATGATATCATGTGATGATAAAGCTTGGATTCCCAATGCAGCAGGAATGATACAGCGAATCTGATTGACTGATCCTGCTGTACGAGGATTGAGTCTGGAACATCGATATCTACGTTTTCTGTAATAAATGTACGTTATTATTCTAGGAGAATGAGATGGCATCGTGAATTTTTGCTTGTTACTGTAGTAGAGTTATATTTACATCATCCAATATTACATCTTGTTACAAGTTATATTACTGTTGACTATAAACTACTGAAAGAATAAAAGAGAAGATACTCTTATATAGTTTCATCATTTAAATAGGCATTGTCTTCTCTTTCCAACGTGAGACTCTTTTTTTTCTTTTTAGCTGTTGTATATTTTTTTTTCTTTCCAATATGAGACTTTTTTCTCTCCCACCTAATGCATACTTTTTTTCTTTCCAACGCCAACACTTTTTTCTCTTTCCATCGTTGTATAGATAAGAGCAAAATATATAATACATTTTTCACCTAAGATTTTTATCGCTTCTTCTGTACATAGCAACTCACTAAAATGAGAAAAAGCATAATAATAATATCGCATATAAAAACAGCAAGTATATCACATAGTTTTTATAGATATGAAATAATATGATAATGTCTACGATCGAACTTGTTGTTTGTTTGAATAACTGCAAATATCTTTTGAAAACTACTACTAATGAGACACTTACTGATATAAAGAACAATATAAAATCAAAATCTGGTATTGATGTAAATAGTGAATATTATGTTCTTGAAGTCTATGATGCAGATTTGGGTGATTATGTTGTTTTAACTACAGAATATTTAGAGGAACTGAAGAATGATTTATCAACAATGCCAATACCAAGATTAGAAATTCAAGTTAAACGGTATTATCAAACAGGTACGATTGATTATGAATAATAGATAACACAAAGAATTTCATTTCACACGCCATAGTGAATCTAAAAACATATTTTAGATAATACTTCTTCATAGTTACAGACAAATTATACAAGATTTCAAAGAGTTCTAAATTTATACAGTGTCTCCGATAAACAGAGCAAAAAACATTACTTTTTTTGCTAAATATCACATTTGATTGCATATTAAAATACAGTACTTAGTGAACCTCAAAATAAGCTATTCAGCGCGACGTTTATTTGAATCCTTTTTTAACCACCTTCTAGAGTAGCAGTGCAAAAAAAGAATAAAATATTGATATATACACCTTGAAGAGTCAGCTCTTACAAATAAGTTTGCTAGTTGTATATAAAATAACGAGAAAATTTTCAACTAGGAATCTACAAGACTTTCTATACGTCTGTATAAATAGAACCTCAGTACTGGATGACATTATAAGTACCTTTGAATATTTTTATTTATTCTTTTGCGTCAAAGAAATAATTCGACAATTTGTCGGAAAACATTTTCCATAATACTGCTATGTGCTTCCTAGAATGTTTTTAATTACAAAGATAACTTTTGAATTGTATTAGAAAAAAGATCGTAGTAGAATGAATGCCTTTTTAGTGTGATATGAACTATGTTGAATCGGATCAGATCATAGAAAAATAGTTCGTTTCGACACTTTCTGTCTAACTAATCTCAATATTTAATCTTTCAAATTACATGAAAAAAATATTCGGAAGCTTTAAAGCTATATCAGTTTTATATTACCGTGGACATTATATCTGTACGTTAATAGATATTGTTAAATATGTTGATGATTTTTCAATCAACTTGCTGTGTGCGTTTTTAATAATCTATATGACGAATATGCATATCTTTATTATTATTATTACACAAAGGAATTTAAATTCGATTTTAATCTCTTAAATAAATACATTATAGTTACTATAGAAAGAAGTCGTTTTGTTTCGGTAAAGAGTATAGAAGTTAGAAAACAATTATTTGTTAAGTTTTCTAACGTCCTTTTATATCTATCTGTTTCAGATGAACTGGTATCAACGACTACTAAAGATCGTAAATATATTATCGTTTGGCTGGATAAACATATTGGTCAACCAGTAAGTTATTTGTCGCTCAAACGTTTATTACACGCGATGGTAGATGCAAATGGCGCTTCACGTTGGACTGCAGATGACTTTTACGACTTTGAAAACCTAATTCGACTTAAAAGAGTACCTCGGTACACAGTAATCCGCTTTTTTAATGAATGCCATTCTTGCCTGACTTTCATACATAACCATGCCCCATCGACTGCTATCTTTTTCATCACATCTTACTCATTGGGTCGTATCATCATACCATCCATTGTTGATCAGGTGCACGCTATTTATGTATTATGCTTCTGTATTGAAAGTATACTAGATTGGGCGTTCGATTACCTAGATCATATTCAAGCGTTTACTTTCGATCACGATTTAATGATACGCTTAACTCGTGATATTGGAAATTACTGTATGCAACAAGGAATAAAACAAGTGGAAGATGGAGATCAAGAACAAGCGTCCAAAAATTTCTCTGATGCTAGAATACTTTTCCTTCGTGCAAATACGATCGATGAAGAGAATTTTGACAAAGATCTAGCACGTGTTAATAATCTACTCATCAAGTTTCCACGTAAGCAGACGAAGTCTTTACAGTGTCAAGAAACATAATCCTCCATGTTATTATATCGCGAAATGTGTTATTTCACAAATGGTCGGTTAATCTATTTAATGAAACACATACATCTATAATTATCGGTTATGCGGAGACGAAGTTTTACTCAATACATGTAACACAAAACGCTAATAACCAATTCGTTTCATATCAATATTGATAGACCTATTTAACAGCAATACTACTTTTATGTAAATTTAATAACATCACCCACTATGAATTGTATTTAAGTTATATACCACACTACTAACCAAAATAAAAACATGCTTATATAGAATATTTAATACATAATAAATATTGCAAACAAATTATTACAGTAGAAGATACTGATTAGATGATTTTATCATTGAAATATAATTGAGAACTGACTTCTACTCTACAGTAACAAATGCATGGAACTCTATCTTTTAACTTTGTATTGATCGGTGTATTTATATATAGTTAATTCTATATAATCAATGGCACTTGTAAATTGAATCTATGATTATCATTATTACATTTCAATAGTCAATTTTAGATAAGAGTATTTTAAATTTTTTTAATGCGAAAATAAACGGAGAAGAAGAACTAGAACAAAAAATTGAACTGTAAAGAAAGGAATTTTGTCCAAGACGACCAAGAGCAAGGACATAAACGTCTGTTGTTGTTGAAAAAAGACGAAAGAAAAAAAAAGAAACTTTAAATAATCAAAAAGACAGACAATTGAAAAAAAAAAGGAAAAGGACACTGCACAAATTGGACACCTGATAGCGCTGTGCTAATGAACGCATATCTGATTTTAGGATATGGATCGAAACATGAATGGCATATTGCAGTGCACAAATGAAATTTTTACGAGAAAGAAAAATAATCGGTGAAACAATTACATTCAAAATAAGAAGAAAAGAAAGAAAAAATACTCTTCTATTCAATGCACAAGAATTTTCTTAAATAATAACGCCAAATACTGTTTTCTTTTTCATTAGGTTAACTAAAATATAAGTGCAAAATAAACTATTCAAAGAAAAAAAAGAGAAGAAGAAGAGAGAGAGAAAAAAACGAACAACAAAGATAGTACTCAATACAGACATTTTTTTTGCTAATGACTATAAAGCAATGAAAGCACGTGCATTTGAATACACTTATTTGGAATATGCACGGACTGTTCAATACATACAAATAGAAAAACACACGCATACAAACAGACAGAACAATGAATTTGAGAATTAGTCTAATATTAAAAAGAAACAAAGAATTTGACACACACACACACACACGTACACATGCGCACTAATAGTATGTTTCTTGTTCAACCCAACCACCTGGATTTCGACGTATAAGATATTTTCGTACTTCATCATAAATGAAAATTGCCAATGAAAATGGCATAGCAGGTATCCACCATCGAAATCTAAAAATATAATCAATTTATTTATGATAACTATTCTCTATGCAATCAATAAACTTACTTAAGTGGGTACATGTTGAGACCTTTATCAAGATAAGGTGTATAGCATAAAGCAGCAGCAAGTACTGTTTCAAAGACTAAACCAAAGTTAAGCATCCAATTGCTACGAGAGAAAAAAAAAACATATAGATTTTTATTCAATAAATAAAAAAATTAAATTTTTTCCTTACTTCATGCCTTGATGGAATAATGAATTTCGTCGTGTTTTACAGATAATCAAATCAGCCCATTGTACAACGACAATAGAAACGAAAAATGCTGTATGACAAGTATATTCGAGTGTTTTACGTTGATTGTATGTCTAAATAGAATAATTCTTTGTATTTTTTTATTATACTTAAGAAAATAGTCTCTTACCCATTCTTGACCATAAGAATCTTCAAGATCATTAATTGTTTTTGATTCCCAAGATTTACGTAAACCAAGAAGACGACTTGGCCAGAAACCGTTATCAGCCATGATAACTAAATAAGTAAAGAAGCCAGCCGATGCTTGAATCATACCAACTTGACCATAAGCCATAGAAATTAAACTAAAATAAAAATATTATGTTTGTTTTTGTATTTCTTTGAACAAATTTTACCGTTCGTTAACAAGTCGATCATGTTGTGGATCACGTGGTCGTCGTTTCATGATATCTGTTTCTGCTTTTTCATAAGCTAATGAAATAGCCGGTACCATGTCAGTACCCAAATCAATACATAAAATTGTAATTGTACCAAGTGGTAATGGAATATCAGTTATAAGATACATTAAAAATGGTGTAATTTCAGGTATATTTGATGTTAATGTATATGCAATAGATTTTTTAAGATTATCAAAGATTAAACGACCTTCTTCAACACCTGTGACAATTGATGCAAAATTATCATCAAGTAAAATCATATCTGCTGCTTGTTTACTAACATCAGAACCAGCAATACCCATAGCAACACCAATATCGGCTTTTTTCAATGCTGGTGAATCATTAACACCATCACCTGTAACAGCAACAATGGCACCTTGACGTTGACAACCTTCGACAATAATTAATTTTTGTTGTGGTGATGTACGTGCAAAGACAATTTCAGGATGATTACGTAATAAAGCATCAATTTCACTTGGTGACATACTCTTCAAATCATTACCATGTACAACACATGCTTTAGCATCAGCTCCATTAACTTGTTCAACTGGGATATTTAAACGTTGAGCAATATCTTCAACAGTTTCTTGTCCTTCAGAAATAATACCGACAGCTTTGGCAATAGCTTTTGCTGTAATTGGATGATCACCAGTAACCATGATAACTTTGATACCAGCTGAACGACATTTAGCGACACTAAAAGAAAAACAAATTAACATTTGAATTACAACATTCTTGTGAGAAAAGATATGAAAAGAATGTATGCATGTCTATTAATACTGCTCAATTTTTTTAATCTCTTCATCTGTTATTTCTCATATATAATCCCTTTTCTCTCCATATTCATCATAACTATTTTATTCAATCTTATAATGTTTTGTGATTTAATTGGAATAGACTATAATAGGTTTAGTACACAAATACGTGTATTAGTGAAATTAACATGATGTTATTTGAGGAAAATGCTTTTTGCTTTATATATAAAAATAGATTATCTCAGTAACATACTATAATTATGTCTTGACTAATAAGTTTTGATGAGTATCCTGTAGGTAAAAGACTCAGGCAGATTTATAGTATATAAACAAATGTTCTTTCAAACTAATATGGAAGCAAGAAAATCTTAATTTAAATGAAGGAGAATTTAGTACTAAAATACATACGCTTCTGGTACAGCCGCACGAGGTGGATCAATCATAGACATAAGACCAAGAAATCTTAATTTATCTACTGGAAAATTAACTTCATCCCCATCAAAATTGTAACCACGTGGAAATTCAGCAGCTGGTAAACGTAAATCACAAAAACCTAAAACACGTTCACCAAGACCACCTAATTCAAGATAAGAACGATTAAAAGCTGCTTTCCAATCTAAAGACAAAAAAAAGAATGTTAAATAAGATTCTTAGTTATTTTTTTTTCTTCTTACATTCGTTTAATTCAATATCTGTTCCATCAATATAAATTGATGAAGATCGTTCAAGTATACGTTCAGGTGCACCTTTCATAACTAATAAATATCGATCATCACCATCTTGTGTTTCATGTATTGATACTTGATATTTATTTGTTGAATTAAATGGTATTTCACATATTTTTCGATTTGAATCACGAAATTTAACAACATTTCCAATCTAACAAAAAAGACAATAGTTTGAAAAAAATTTATTGATATATCTTACTGATAATTCAACACATTTAAGTAAAGCAGATTCTGATGCATCACCATTACATTCTCGTTGAAGTACCGGTTTCTTTAAATTTTCTTGATCTTGTTTGAAATCAGCACGATTACATAACATAGCACAACGACTAAGAGCGAGCTAAAAAAACAAACATATTAAACTTAAAAAAAATTCAGATATAAATTTTTAATTTACCCATCCTGGTGCACTTTTATCATACGTAGCATCTAGATAATAAATATATACAAATAATCAAAAACTCATAAATCAATTTACTTTGTTGATTTTCTGTTGTATCTGCTTCAACAATTCGATTATCAAACCACATATGAGCAACAGTCATTCGATTTTGTGTTAATGTTCCAGTTTTATCTGAACATATAGTTGATGTTGAACCAAGTGTTTCGACAGCTTCCAAATTTTTAACAAGACAATTTTTCTTTGCCATGCGTTTAGCTGTTAAAGTTAAACAGACCTAGAAAAAAAAATAATTAGTTTTTCTTTTTCTTCTTGTACTATTCCAAAAAAAGAAATGAAGACTTACAGTAACTGTAGCAAGAAGACCTTCAGGTACATTAGCAACAATAATACCAATTAAAAAGATGACTGCTTCAAGCCATGGGTATCCAAGAAGAAAAGCAATGACAAAAAATGAAACACCAAGAAAAACAGCTACACCAGTAATTATATGAATAAAATGACCGATTTCACGAGCTATTGGAGTTTCACCTGTTTCTAAACCTGAAATAAAAAAAAAAAAAATTTTTTTGTTTAATAGATTTCAAAAATATTTATTTTACTTGAAGCTAAATTTGCAATACGACCCATAACGGTTCGATCACCAGTTTTAACAACTAATCCAACACATGTACCTATGTAAAAACAAAATAAAAATAAGTCAATGAATTAATTTAGTTGATAATTTTACCTTCAACAGCAAATGTACTAAAAAATGCTAAATTTTTTGTTTCAAGTGGATTATCATTTGTAAATTCAGGTCCACGTGATTGTGGTTCCGATTCACCAGTTAATGATGAATTATCAACTTTAAAACCATGTGCTCGTAATACACGGATATCAGCTGGTACACGATCTCCAAATTTAACTTCAACGAGATCACCAACTACTAATTCTTCAGCTTTTAAATTTCGTTTTTCACCATTACGAATTGCTAATGCTTGCTATAAAGATAAAAAAAACAACTTAACTCTCTCCCTCTCCCTCTCCTTCTATTTTATACATACAGGTGGCACCCTAAAATAAAAATAAAATAAATTCAAAATGATATATATTCTTCAAGAAAACAAACACATACATATTTTTGAATGATTCCATAATTCTCGAACTTTTCGCTTCTTGAAAATACGAAAAGCAACCAGTAACAAAAACGACAACTGTTAATGCAATACCAAGCCAAAGCTATAAGAATAATTTTAGTCAAAAAAAAAATATTCAAATCTTTATTTCTATACTTACATTGTCATTAGCTGCTTCTTCATATGTTGCAACACTAATACCATGTGCAACAAAACATAAAACCGCACCAAGCCATAATAACATAGCAAAACCGCCAAACATTTGACGGCAAAATTTAACCCATTCAGGTGTAGTTTTGGGTGGTGATAAAGCATTTGGACCATCACGTGCAAATACTTCAGCAGCTTTTGCATCTGTTAAACCCTATTGAATAAAAAAATTTATTGCAAAAAAAACAATATTCAAAATATTTATTTTACCCGTTCTGGATGAGTTCCATATCTTCGATAAAGTTCATCTGGAGATATTTTATGATCATCCTAAATAATGATTAAGAAAATCTTATGAATTGCTATAATAAATCAATAAATCTTACAATATCGCTTTCACGTTTGAGATCATCAAGATTTTGTTCTTTTCTAACTGCTTTCGATTTCTTATCGTCGGCCTATGATAAATAAAAGAAAAAAACAAGTCCAAAAAATAAAATGTTGTATTTTAAATCTTACCATAGTTCATTGAAATCAAATATAATAATTACCAAAAGAAAAGGCTATTACTCAATCTTAACTAATGATCGAGATCTAAAAATATTTGATGTGACAAAATATCTACAACAAAAAAAAAGAAAAAAAGTAATTATATATTCTTTTCTTCTATAGCTGACTCGTAGAATGATGACGATGGTATTGTCGATGCGATCAGTCGCATGCAGACGAAAAAAAAGAGAGAATGAAAGAGAAGAGGAGAAGAAAAAAAAAAGAACTGTCGAGAAATAATATATAGCTTTTTGTTGCTACGAGCAAAACAAAATCGACAGATGACGTCATTCTATAGAAAAACTAAAGTTGACATCGAATTCTCTAGTGAATTATAATGAAGTAAAAAAATTTTGTTTTTTTAACTGACAAATATTTATTAAACAAATATATAGCTGAAAGCGTACAACAAATCTTACTCGTTTTCTTCTTCTTGACTTTCTCATATTACTCAGCTGGATTGATCATTATCAGCAAAATGCGCGCGCGCAATCCATCGACCGATCTATTTTCTTCTATTACTATCAAGATTACAACGGAAATAAAAATAAAAAAAAGAAGAAGAAGGAAAGAATTCAAATAACAAACCTATTCGTACTTCTTTTTTTTTATATAGACGAACGTTTTTTATTGAACTAATTCCCTCTTAACGCTTATTAATAATAACCTAGTAAATAAAAAAGCTGATGGGATAAAAAGAAAAAGAAGAAATAATGCTGAATAACTAGTAATGTATAAAAAAAAATATATTATTTTCAAAAAACCCTTTCTCTATGATTACGAGTACAAATATAAAATGCGATTGTATATACTGAAGACTAGGCATATAAATTTCAATATCTATAATCACAAAAAAAAGGAGAGAATTGGAAAGGGGCCCTTTTTTTTATTTCTTTCTCGGTAAAAAAAAAAGTAATCTTGCTCGTAAAATACATCACGCTCGTGTTATTTTATGATCTTTATAATGGTCGTTTTTATTTTAATGATCGATACTCCAGATATGGATAGAAGTTTTCGATCTTTATATATACATAAAAATATACATATATGTTTGTTGTATGTATATAATCAATTTTACCTTCTTTGAGATAGATAAATGCGTTGTTACAATAATAAATGTCGGGAAAAAAAAGGATGAAGAGAATCCGAGGCCAATACACGCATTAACATGCATATGTCATTTCTTCGACTCGTAAACGTGCAAGCACTCCGCTTAGAGAATAGAGGAAATAGGGTTTTTGTTCTCAATCGAAAGTCATCATATTCGACAACGAAAGAAAAGAAGAAAAAAAATAGAAGAAAAAAAGATATACAAAAGAAGAACAAGAATTTTTTTTTCTATTAAATGACTTTTGATCCTCTTTTTCTCCTATAACAATATAACTAAGATGAAATCATAAAAAGAACCTTATATACTCGCTAATTGACAGACTACGATCAACATTTTTTCTTTAGATTTCTAGTCACTTCTATAATAATAATAAACCACAACAACAAAAGAGAATATATTCACTATTTATTCGTAAAAATGACTATTACCTTGACTTCAAGAATAATAAACTTTTCTACCTGTGTTATATCAACAACGAATACATTTATTCTTTCTTTTTTTTTATTATTTCTTGTACTCTCATATATCTCAATCTTAGTGTCTAAAAATAAAAAGAATGAAGAAAAAAAGAAAAAAGAATCCATAAATCAGCTTGTATATGCATACTTGCACTTACCTCATTCGATAAATAAAATACTCTTTAGGAAAAATTACTGTCCTAAACATAAATATAATTTGATGTCAAACACAACGACTGTCAATATGGTTGTCATGTAAATCGCATTTTTTTTTAGATAATTAAAGAGATGTTGTGTATTCTCTCTTTTCAACGACAGTTTATTTTTTCTTGTCTATCTGTCTATCTTTCTGTCACTGTCTATTGCCAATAGAAATAGTAAGAAAAAGAAGAAGAAGAAGAAGAAGACGAAGAAGAAGAAAAACAAGAGAAAAAAGTAGAAAAACATACGATCATGTCACACTAGATAGATTCATTACTATCGATGTTCGTCTTGCCAACCAACGATAATATTAAGATGATAATGCAGAACTAAACATATGTGAAAGACAGTCAAAATGATGCGCAAGTGCACTCGTCTCCCACACATACATACGGCGGTTTACATCATTGCCAACATAGTATATGCAACTTCTCTCATTTCTTGTGTTCTGCCACCGACAATAGTATGTGTTCGACGACGGCAGTAACGACGACCAATCTTTGCGCACATACACATTAGTTTTTTGCTTGTGCCGCTCGACACTACTCGCAATATAGCAAAGCGAAAAAAGCCACCATCACATACCAAAGTGTTTTTTATCAATAGGAAAGCGAAGAACTGTGATGATGGTGTGATAGTGGCATTAAAATAGAGGAGAAGAAAAAAACGAGAAAAAAAAAGAATAAGAAGCAAAAAAAGCGAGAAGGAAAAAAAATAAGAAATCCAGCCTACAAAATTTATAATATCAAACGCACAAAAAAAAACAAGTGTTGATGGTAAAAAAAGAAAAGGGAACGGGATAGAGGGAGAGAGAGAGAGAGGAGGGGAGAGTGAATAAGATAAAAAATAACTGATTGCAAAAAAAAAAAGACCTTGAAAGAATCAAGTAATTCAGTAATCTGATATTTCAAAACGAAATATGTGTTTTACTAGTCATTAATATATACAATAGAATAAAAAAAAATAAGATAAGCATTGATTCAATAAGATCAAAGTATATTTCAATTAGAAAAATAAATCTATAAAAAATAATAAAATAATGATTATAAATACCATACCTGTATAAATTGATAATAATTCATCCATTGAAAATGACTGTTATTGATCGAAAAATAAAAAAAGTCCTATCATTATTATTAAATGGTAATGTATGTTAAATATTTACCATCGACTTATCGTATCATTCAGCGGTTGCAATGCTGATAGTTACGAATGGTTACTATTAAGAATTGATGATTCTTATTGAATTTATACAGATGACAGTTCTTTACATTGACAGTTTTCAAGAGTGCAACAAATACTACATATGATTAAAGTAATTGAAATGACAAGAATAATTATAATTACAATCGTCTAGTTTGGGAACTTTTTTTTTTGATGATGATTTATTTTAGAGATCTTAAAATAACAAATATAATATTTTATTTAAATTTCTTAGATTTTAATATCTGATAACATAGGAATAATAATAATAAAGGGTCGTTCTATTCGAAATAATCAATAACATTGAAATATAAACTTTGTTTATCTCAATAGTCATGTTTAAATACAATTTGATTAGAGGGCGAAAAAAAAAGAAGATGAATTAAAACAATGGGAAATATAACAGTATATATATATATAAATGGCCTTGAGGAGTATATATATTTATTTTTTAGATATTATCATTCATACGTCGTTCTTTTTATTAATAATTTCATCTATTATAATAAGAAAAGTTTCGTGATTGCTAATAATATTAGATGATAAATGTTCTTTTTCTTCCACTGTAATAATTTTCTGTGTCTTGATTGAATAATAATATAACACTCTAAAAATGTAACAATAAATCAGATAAAGTACTTGAACTTCATGTTTTAAAAAGCCACAAGCAAAATATGATTATAAATATACAAAAAAAAAATCGTATTACAAATACAATAACATTAACAATCGACTGATAGATATGTCTACGCTTTAATTTTACCTGATTTATTTATATAGATGAAAACTCTTTTAGATTGCATTCATTATATAGAGCTGAGTATACTTTTGATGTGACTGAAAAACATTATTATTATTTATATTTTGCTAGGAGAAAAACAATAGAACATAAGTGATTGTTGTCATTGAATAAAAAAAAGTCTTTCAGTGATCTGTATCATATATTGATTAAGTATTTCTTTATATTTGATGCAACCGATAACAATGTTTTTTATGACCATATGTGTATGTAATTCGATCGTATTATATAAAATAAAAATAAAAAGTGCAAATAAATTAAACAATAGAATTATTCATCATTTTTCTTCATAGTACCATCTGATTAAAATAATCATACGAACGATGATTGATAGTGCACTTGGGCTTTCAAATGAAACTATATGATCGAATTTCTATTTTGTTTATAAGGTCATTTTGCCCCAAATGAATTTTTAGTTAAATATAATTTGTTTAAAACCGCATTTTAACAATGCAATATTCCAACAGAGAAAGAAATATAATCCGTAACCTATATGTAGTATACTCTTACGTTATTTTAAATTATATTCGTGTTCAATTCTTTTTCTAATAAACCAATTGAAATCTGATCCTTCTATCGGAAGCCATATATTTTTATATATTCTGAAAGAAAGAATACATTTCGATAATAAAAAGCTTAGATTCGATTGGTTGTTTCGTTTTTTTTTTGAAGATTGAATAAAAAGTTTTTTTTTCGATTATGCCACCATGATTGTCGATTGAAGATAGTTTTACTGCACCTCATGAAAAATATATGAGAATAAATATCATCTGTTATTTATTGATTTTTGTTCTATATTAATACGAATCAAAGGTTTAAAAATTGCGTATATGTTAGAAATCAATGTTTTATCTAGAGAATAGTATGTAGAGGTCGTAAGGTAGTCCCAATTCTAAAAATTTTTAATTAAATATAAAAGCTAATGATAACTGTTTTTGTCATCAAGATTATAAATAAATATCAGTTTTAGATATAAAAATAAACTACCAAAAGTGCACGATTGAGATTTAGATTAGATTTTCAGTTAGTATACTACAAGCTATGTTATTTGTCCTCTTCGATGAAGATCTTTGCATTCCCTCGGGCTAAAAAAAACAATAAGTTAATTGCTTTTATGGATGTATTTTAAAACAACTAATCAGCTTAATGTTTATTTGTTTTTTTGCTAATCTTCAATTATCTTACATAATTTAACTAGAAAATTTTGACATGAAATATATTCATTCATTCTATCAATAGTGAAAAACAAAACATACTAACAAGAACTTTGAATCCTATAATATCTTTATGGAAAACATAATTATGATATGAGAATATTTTCATTTTTGGAAGAATAGTCTAGTAACCGATGCTTTATAAATGACTGTTTCATTAGAAAAGAAAAAAAAAACATATAAGAATTATTTAATATAATAAGAAAAATTCATATGATTTAATCCGAATACCATTCCGATTTTCGTAAATCACTTCGACACATTGGACATTTAGAATTTTTCTAAAATATTCAAAGAATAACTTTAATTAAAAAAGAATTTTTTGAATATAAATTCAAACCTTAAGCCATTTATCAATACATTTGCTATGAAATCTATGTAAACATGGAATTGTCCGTAGTTTTTCGTCAGATTTATATTCATTGAGACAAATATCGCATACAGCACCTACTACTGATACTTCTTCAGCTGTTGTTGTTGGATAACATTCAATTAAGTGTTTTGATAAACCTAAATCAACATAATGTTCATCATCTTCATGATCAGATAAATCATCATGTGCGTGTTCATCATAAAAATCTCCTTCATCATCTGTTTCCCAACTAAAATAAATATTTTATTAAATTCAAAAAAATAAATATCTTATATATAGATATACCTGTCACTTTCATCAGCTTGAGCTACATCGATTTCTTCAATACGTTGAGAAGTTTCTGTAGTTTGAGTCGTTGGTTGATCTGTTGTAAACGGAATTTCTTGATCACCCTGATTATTCGCAGACATTTTATGTCGTTAAAAGAAAACTAATTCAATACGATTTAGTTATTACTGAAACAATACTAATCTATAATGAGTCATAAATATTGATAATGAATGGATATGTCTTCAATTCTCTCTATTTTGTCTCAGAAAGCTTTCAATAGATGTCGATAATATACAATGATTTATTTTATTCTTTTCTGTCAATGAATAGCTAAAGAATTGAAACATACTTTTAGTAATTATGATTTTATTAAGTAAATATTTGTAATAGTGAAGGACTGATATAATAAATTTAACACTTTCTTTTGAAAAGCTAGCTTTCATCGTAATCATATATTTTCAAGGTAGACAAAAAAAAATAGAATCTAAAATATTCAATAGCGAAGTCGTCTACATTGATCTAGAATTAATTAAACTATATGGAAACCAAAAAAGTTTGATCATAAGAATTCATTTTCTTTCAGAAATATTGTTGAGATTAACGAATATAAATAAATACAGAAGATTTTTTCAGTAAAACAAAATTGAATATTTTTTTTTTATATCCATGAATAAAGTTTCATTATCATAATAATAATTTGAATTTTTACACAACAGAATGAAGAGACAGTTTTGATTTGCAAAACATAATTAACAGAAAAAAAGTAATTTTAATTAGTCAAGAATTATTGAATTGGTGGTATTCGACAAATTGGACATTGATTTTTATCCTAAAATAAAAAAAAATTTATTAAATCGATATTCAAAAAACAAATCGTTTTTACTTTTAACCAATTATCTATACATTCTTGATGATATAAATGAAAACATCGTAATCGACGTAAGAGTTGATTTTGTTCAAATTCATCCCAACATATACTACATTTATTTTCTTCGGCACTTCGATTTTTTGGACGATCAAATCTTTCAGTTGGTAAACGATTAATTTGTTCTTTAGTTAATGCTTTTGATGCAATTGTACTATCAAGTTCAAGTAATCTCTAAATAATCAAATATTGAAATAAATACTTCATTTGTTTTCGATGATATTTTACTTCGTAATCATTTGGAGTAAAATCGTCATTATTATTTTGAACATCTCGATTACCAAAAGCACCAGGACGTGGAAAAGTATTACTAACAAGTTGAAATATATTCGAAATATTATTTTGATTATTATTATAACGATTAGCTGGAGTAGGACGAGCTAATGTAGCTCTTGGTATAGGTATAATTTCAGGTTCATTATTAGATTGAAATGTTCGATTATTATTAATTCGTTGGGGAGGAAATACTGGTCGTTGACGATGTCTTCGTCCTCGTTGATTTTCTTCTTCTTGTAAACGTGCTGCTAATTCTGCATCATTAAAAACTGCTGCATTATCAGGTTCAGTAATAATAGCTGATGTTCTTTTATTATTTATTTCTTGCATATATGATCGAGTTGGTAGAACACTTCGCCTTGAATATTCTTCTTCTTGAAGTTGACGTGCATAAGCAGCATCAGCATCGATTTCAGATTTTCGTTGTGGATTAAATGTAGTAGCATAATTAGGAAATGATTCATCAATTTCCATTGAATTTGAACCAAAAAGATCTTCTTGATGTTGTCGAGCTATTTCTTCATCATCCATAGTATTTGATATTATTGCAGAATTAATTAAAGGCTAAATAAAAAAGGAAAATTAATTCTAATTTGTTCGTTATAAAACTTACAAAAATCTGATCGAACTGATCTGCTGTTAATATTTGTTGAAGTTCGCTATAGGCACGTGCTATTGGGGATAAAGACCTTCTACTATCTCCCATTCTATTTCAAAACAAACTAAAACCTTCCAAATAACTATAAACAGATGATTCACCGTTTTTTTTTTTTTTCTTTTTCTTTAGGTAGTAACAGAAAACAATTCGATAACCGTAAATAAGTCAGTCAAAGAAAAGAAAAAAACCCAACTTATGAGTCAGTAGGACAAAAAACACACACTTTATTGTAGTTTCGATTATGATTGGATGAATTGATACATAACGTTTTCGTTTGATTATATTGAGAAGAATGCATATTTAGCGCATCGATGATATACACAATCGAATGATATATATCAGAGAAGAATAAAATATATATATATATATGCACAAGATTGATCTATAGAAAAACTATGTCAGTCTTTATATACATATTTTTCTCGATCACAATGTATAACAGTAGATTTCAACATATCAAATATAGAATTTATATTGGTGATTAGAATATCAATCATACTACATGACTGAAATACTTACGATTAGGAAGATATTTTTTTATTATATTATTATATGTGTACTTTAGATAAGATTCTACCTAGTTACATTATCAAAATGTCTAGGCCGTAAATGTTTTTGTGAAATAATAGTTTTGTCAATTCTTCATATCATATTTCATAGAAAAATGTTTAAATTAAAAAAAAAGAAGAGTTTTCTACGTAAAACGATTGGTAGGCAATTTGAATAATGAAAATATAAATGTACAATTTTAAATTTCAGATGGCGTTCATTCACGACAATTAAATATTTTATTAATAATTTCATATTTAAAATATATACAAACATTTTCTATTTAACTATCCAACTGTTCTGAAGAAGAATAATATTCTTCCATACTATCTAATAATGTCATGATATCACATACTAAATCATTTTGTTGTGATGATAATGCTATTTCCATTAAAGACTGAAATTGATCATCCATAATGAATGGTATTAATGGTGCTTGTTTATTATTATAGATTTTTCTCTGTAATTCTGTTTGTTTTAGTTTTGCTTGTTCCTCTGGAGTTTGTGAATGATATTTTCCATCGACAAAACTTTGAATATCTTCTAAAGGTTCGATTATAACTTTCATTTGTTTATCATTTGCACAAGCTTGAATAAAGGCATTTCTACGTTTCAATTCATTTTTATGTCGACGAATAGTATTAAGTGTTGAAAAATGACGTTGCCGAGATCGATGACGATGAGATGGACTAGATTCATCATTAAAATCATAAATACTTGACGCCGATACAGAATTGTCTGATTGAGTATTTGTAGTATCGGATAACATCTAAATATGAAGTTATATGAATGAAAAAATACATATAATATAAATACCTTTTTATGTTCCATTACTGGTAGTCTTAGTTGAAGATTTTCTCCGTCAATGTTTTGTGATGATAGTGAAGTATAATGAAGAATAATATTATGAGTATCCGTTATATATATGAGTAGGTTTTTGAAAATCATATACAAGGTAAGAATACAAATATATGACCTATTATGTATAGATCGATGTCAGTACAACTTAAACTATATAAAGCTACTAGCAATATGCAATACGAGTAATTATGCTTATGCCTGACAAATAGCGTACAGGTAGATAAGTGAGACAGAAAGTAATTATAATCTTAATATGATTGTTTGATAAACAAAATAAGGATAAGTAGGCGTCTTTTATATTTCATTGAAATTTAATGCATATAGAAATCAACCAATAACAATGCATAATTACTAAATCATCGTCATATCCTCATATGTAGAACAATTACTGTTGGTAAAAACATACCTATTAGAAGGTCATTGTATTTAATATATTATTCTAAATGAATTGAATTTGATAATACCAGTTTCCTGATTATTATCATATTTTCGTTAAGAGAGGAAAGCTAATATTGAAATCATAATTATTTCAAATATCTTATTGTTCAAAAGTATAATAAGTGTTATATTCACTTCTTTCAATTTATCAATATATATACAGAAGTACATTGACTGTTTACAAGCTTTCAAAATGGTAGATAAGCAAGTAAAGCTTCTAAATTTCGAAATCACAATTTAAGTAATAAATTATATCTTCTGACAACTAACAATACTTAAATCAAGCAACAATTTTTTTATAGATAAAAGCATACGGTATAATAGTTACATATTTAGGAAGAGAATATAGGATAAAATAGACAGTAGACGAAAGAAAGAATGAATAAAAATATTTCAGATACAAAGCACAACTTTGAAGAAAAAATTACGTCGTTATATTATTGCACACATGACTGCATAAGATGGATAAAAGAAATAAGAGAATGTTATGCTCTCTCTCTCTCTTTCCCCAACTCATAACGATACGTATTGAATAGGTAATTACCTATAAAGATGAAAGTTAATAACATATCATGATTTATAAAGTAATTGTATTTTATTTTTCAGTTAAAATTCATCAAAATAACTTTTCACGTTTTCCACTGTTTTACATAGTTGATCGTTATTGAAAAAGCGTTCTGAAATCTTTTTTTTTAGTTAAGGAACACTATCTATCTTCACGTTAAGTAAATATAAATACAGTAAACGACTGCATTCGAAACAGAAATGTATGTCTGATTCTACTCTATTATAATACCATGTGGAATCTTAGGTGTATTTGAATATAATTTGAGTCTTACTAGAAAAATATAAAAACAAATGAATATTTTAGATTCATATTTATAATCGTGAGTTATGATCGTATGTATTCGTATCTTTATAGAGTCGATACCGTTTTAAATAGAACTCTTTCAACTGCATCAAATAGTTATGAGTAAGGAAACTGCTTCTGAAACATAGTTATGTACTTAAATTTTCAATTCAATGAAGTTTAATTAGGAATATAAATCAAGTATATCCTAATTGTGCAATTTAAAATATTAAGATTATATTATAATGCGAGAGAAGATTTTTTTTCTGTTTGATTGATGATAGCTATTTATATCACGATATTTTATATTTTCTGATATTTCTCTAATAATTCACATTATTATTTAAGTAGATATGACATGAAAAAATATTTATTGATAAATAACGACGAAAAAACTGTTTTAATACTTTAAAGCTTTCGATAGTTTCATGTAGTTTTTCGAATATATTCTATCCTTTGATAACGTATTCTTTACAATATTTTTTCTTATCACATAAGTATTTTATAGAGTTAAAAGCTAAATTAATTGTTTTGTCCATATATTTATTTTCACATCCTAGTTCACAATTAATTAATCCAAACAAAAACAATAAATAAATATAAATTACAAAAAAAATACTAAATAATATGAAAGTCCTATAATTCATAGCGCTACAATAAAAAAATTTCTTATATAACGTAATATTAGAGCGACCCCTCCCCTCCCCTGGGTTATCAAATATCATCATTGGCTATCCCCTCCTCCTCCTAAACTAATTAATCCTATTCGATTAATTATAATAAGTAATTAAAATATATTAATCAAAAACAAATTGATATTTATGATCTGTAAGATAGTAGAAGTAAGTAAGACGTTCAAAATAAGTTTAATTGAAATATTCTTAAGAAGACATATTATCAACTTCATAAGTTCATGTTTATTACGAGAAATATAAGTGTTTGTACAATAACAACGAATAAAAGTTTATTTTTCTTGTTTGATTAATAGTTTACTTGTTATATAATATGAGTTTTTTTATTTCGTGTCCAATATTCGTATATCCCTAATATCAATATGTACATCATCAAGCTATTCCCAAATCATCAATATATTTTTAATAAGATTTTATTTATAAAAAACATTTAGATCGCACATATTTTTACAATAAAAATTTATTAACAATTTAATATAAAATATACAAACATTTTCTATATTTCGCCTGTCTAATTATCCAACAGTTCCGAAGAAGAAGAATATTCTTCCATACTATTTAATAATGTCATAATATTACATAATAAGTCATTTTGTTGTGGTGGCAATACTGATTTTATTAAAGATTGAAACTGGTCATCCAAAATAAAAGGAATCAATAGTGCTTGTTTATTATTATAGATTTTTCTCTGTAATTCTGTTTGTTTTAGTTTTGCTTGTTCTTCTTGGGTTTGCGAATGATATTTTCCTTCTAAAATACTTTGAATATCTTTTAAAGGTTCAATAACAACTTTCAATTGTTTGATATTTGCACACGCTTGAGTTAAGGCATCTCTAGCTTTCATTTCATTTTTATGCCGACGAATAGTATTAAGTGTTGATAAATGACATTGACGAGATCGACGACAATGAGATGAACTAGATTCATCCTTGGAATCATAAATATTTGAAGATGATACAGAGTTTTCTGATTGAGAATTAGTAGTATTGAATAATATCTAATATAAATTTATATAGATGAAAATATATATATATAGAGTGAATCATAAATAATAGTGCAATAAGATATTCTTGATCTCATCTCTTTGGATTGATCGAATCAAAGCGAAGATATCAAAAATATGTTATTACACTGCTATTTATAGTCTATCGTAAATGCATAGCACAAGATGAGTACCTTTTTATTCTTCATCGTTGATAATTTTGGTTGAAGCTTGTGTATGTGAATGTTTTGTAATGATAGTGAAGTATAATCAAGAATAATATTATAAGCATCCATTTTATATAAGGGTAAAATTTTGAAAACAATACGATGAATAACAACGCAGAAATAACTTATTGTAAATAAATCGACGTTTGTATGGTTTATATTACATCAACAGGTATAATAATCGTTGACAGCTGGTATATACATCGATAAATAACAAGGAAAAAAACTAGTCATGCTTATGGGCTTGTTTGACAAACAAAATAATGTTTAGGTCGAACACCCACTGCTTTACTTAAGTATAATACATACACATTCTAAAAAATAAAAATATCCTTAAAATAAATCAGCTATACTATCTTTGGTCAGACAACCATTATCATCATTAATAATATATTTTGATAAAACTATAGTCTTTGGTAAATATATTCAAGCATTACTATTAACAACATCTGAAATGAAACAGACATGCAGGATGATACATAAATAAAAGATTCTTCTTCGAAAAAAAGCATCTATGTATCAATGTGCGTCCGTGTGATTAATATTAACATTAAGTGTGTTCACAATGAAATGTTGGCTCTTGTCCATATTGAAATAATGATGACATAGAACATATATATCCTCTACATTGTATATATAATTAGTAGAATACGAATAATAACGATTGGAGAATAATATTTACCTTTATCGATATATAAAAGTATATTCTAAATACATAATAACTGTAAACATAAAAGTTAATTATAGAATGATTTGAAATCGATAGCGAAATAAAATTTGTATTTCAATAATTTACTACTTTTATTCGTTAAATTATAATATATTCGAGCATTCTGATATCAACGTCAAAATTAGAGAGATTTGCATGATGATGTAAATTTGTACTTGTCGTCTATTTTTATATTAGAGGTATATATATATATATATAAGAGAAAAACTTGCCATCGATAGTCTTGTGCAAATATATTAGATAATTGATTTTTCGGTGTTTTATAATTTATTCAAATTTAATAACTTGCTTTGAAAAGCAAACTTGTATTATTTTCTCATGATAAAAAGAAGTACTCTGAGATAGTCTCATGTAATTATTAGTTACTATGTCCTGAATGCTCTTCATAAGGTGACCTTGCTATAGCATCGACAGTGTAACACGTGCTTACCTTTTTATATTTTTTTTTGTACTCAACATATTTGTTCGTAATAAAGAAGATATGTATACTCGTCAAGTATCGAAATTATTATTATACGATCCGATTGTTTGATATCCTAAATATGAGTGTGCTATGCTCCAGAATGTTCATTCAAATCTAAATTGTATTCTTACACATCATCGCTTTAAAAAGATGCAATTCTTTTTTTCCGATTATTCCTAACGGTAACACCCATATCGACATCGAATTATAATCACTAATATTCTCAGATATATCTATTATATTTATTTTATTTCTTTGCAATAAGTACATTAATTATATTTTTTTTTTCAACAAAAGAGAAAAATTATTTATTTAACTAATTATCCCAAGTTAATTTTGTTGCATGAAATGAACGTTGTAATGATGTTTTTGTAAAACCAAGATAATCAAGTTCAGCTAGACCATGAACAAAACGTGCTCTAGAAAATTTTAAAATAATCTTTTAAATTTTACTTTTTATAAGTTTAAAATCCTTACAATATTGATTTATCTTTGTCATTATCAACAATTTCTTGTTCTTCTACTAATGATGCAAATGACTAGAAAAAGAATGTTATTCTTAGATATTAATTTTTGGATTATATCATACATCAAACCAATCACTAAGTGGAATTTTTGTACCCGATTCTGTATAAACACGATAGAGTAATGCTAAATCAGGTATTTGTCTTTGCTTCCAATTGACATTTTCAGTTAATTCTCGAATAAATATAGCACGAGTCATAGGTACTAATCGTTCATGTAAAAGATTTTCATTGATTTTAGTTGAAGTATTGATTATTGGTGAAATGAAACATTCACATATTTGTTTAAGCCATAGGAAAACTTGTTCACGATATCGATTTAATTTTTTATCACTAACTGAACGTAATGTATTACTTAATGTTTGTGTATCATCAGCAATTTGTTGTTCTTGTTCAAGGAAAATTTTCTTAGCTAATTGACAATATTTAATACACAAAGAATTTTCATTACATTTATGTTCAATAAATGAATTTAAACATGTATCAAGTTGATGAATTGTAGAAGAATTAACAGATAATGTTAATTCATTAAACATAGGTGTATTCGATAGATAAGATTCATAAAATGATGAACGATAACGACCAAGAGGATAATTTGGTAATTGATTACATGAAACATAGATTGCATTAAATAAACAAATATTCAGTTGATTAACTGGCTGAATAGTTGAGTCAGAAAAAGCGATAAACTAAAATTAATCGATAATAATAATTAATAAGTATTTCTAAAAAGTAGAGAACTAGACAATTATTGGATAAACTGAAATTCGTCGTTAATAATGCAGATTAAAGTGTAGCTCAATATCAGTGTTTTATCTAGGTTTGTCCTTTTGAGAGTGCGATAACGATTTCCGGGAGGACGAAAACCTAATTTCTGGAGGCCAAATACGTAGTAAAAGCATAAAATCACAATTTTCGAGGAGACAAAATCGTTCTCCGGGAGAGCGCCGCCATCACTGCTTTGTATAAATAGATTATCTTCTATAAGATGTATTTTTTAAAAAGGATAGATGAATACGTAGTTATTAAAGTCGTTTTTTCTAAATATAATCATTACTTCAAAAGTACTTATATTTATCTCTATTAGCTGTTTTCAAACACAACATTTTTCTCGAATATACTCTATAATGATCGCCTAATAATCAAAATATACTTAACTTTTATAAATAATTCTAGTACACAAGATCAAACAGTTTCTAAATTAGGATATAAATCCAAATTTGAATTAGATTCGATGGGTTATAGTTATTTATTGTCTCTGAAATTTATATTAACGGTATTTAAATTACTGAATGTGAGTGTGGAAGAATACAAGACTGTGTTACACCTAGAGTACGGCGGTTTCAAAAAAATGGTACCGAAACCGCTCTTCTCTCATTTCTACTGACCGGAACCGATTCCGGATAACATTTGGAACCGCCGTACTCTAGTTACACGTCTACCTACACTCTCAAGACTTTTGTTCGACACGTGTTCACAAGGTACTGTGTTCAAACCTCGGTATCATCAGCTATGGAATGACCTTGGACAAGTCACTAACGGCTATTTGTCTCGGACCATCCATTCGATAGTATACCGATTACGTGATGACATACAGTAGCTCTTAGCCTGTATGTGGTTACTCAGTATATATGAGGAGTTTAATTAATTAAGCGAAAAGAACTCTGTATCAGGCCAGCCTTCTATCCAGAGCTACAACTAGAAATAGTTGTAGGAAGCATATCGGGCTAAATGAAAATGTCCTTGGACATCATCCTATATTGAAAGGTAAGCCGAAAGGCGGGGGTATTTCTTCTTCTTCTCAAAACTTTTATATAAACAATCGAATTATTAGAAAATAAATTTTCAGATCGATTGAAGAAAAACTCATTCTTCGCTATTTATATAAAACGACATGAAGTATCTCTTTAATCATTAGTCAAATAATCGAGTCCCAGAATTTTTCAAAGAGAACTTCGATTATGTTTACTTCAATCCAATTTGTGTTCAAGATTCGACACATCTTTAAATAATAACACCAATTTCTTATTAAAACTTTTTACTACTAACTTTAAGTGCATGTTCAAGCCATGCTAATGAGAATGTTTCAAAATAGCCATTATCAACAAAATGTAATTGTTCAGCTGTAATTGTAAATTGTTCATTACTTTCCGAAAGGAATAACTGAAAAATAGATGTAATAAAATTCTTCTCTTATTAAAATATATACATACTGATTTAATAATATATTCATAATATTTTCTTGCACTAGAATCATAAATTGTATCAATGGATAATTTTGATGCAATACGACTTGCTACAAGTCGTTGTAATGAATGATCACCACCTGATAAACCTAATACAAATGATATTGATATTGATTTTATTTGTAAACTAAATATAAATAAAATTTAAATGTTTTTCTTTTTCTTTATTTGATGATATAATACCTAAGTAAATTTATAAAATTTTCGAATATCGATATATTCATTGACTCAAATTCTGGAATAATAAAAATTAATGAACGTTTTTCATTTTCTTTAAGCTATAGAAAATATAAAATATGAATTAATTTTAAAACAATTCAATTCTAACTTCATTATAAATTCCAATAAATTTACTTAATTGAAAAAATACATTCTTATTTTCAGGATCTTTATCTGGATAAAACTAAAAAAAATTCTTTCTATTTTTCTTAATTTAAAATATTGTTTTTCCTTACCTTATTTAATTCATTCTTAGTTGTTTTAAGTATATTATGAATAGATGAATATTGATCAATAGTTTGTAATTTAATAATAATAGACTTAAATTTCGAAGATAATTGTTCTTGAAGTTCATCAAATAGATGACTATGTTCAGACATATTTGAATCTAAGTTTTGTTTTTTATAAGAATAGAATATTTTCAATTGAATTTTTGTTATATACTAACCCATACATAAAGCCATAATAGGAATATATTCAAAACATCGATTTGTTATACGACGAAATTTATCATTTTTTTTTACAATATCAAGAACACTAGTAACAAGACGAGCATGTAATTGAGATTTAACATTCGTAAAAACATTTGTTATATGATCAATACGAGTTATATCAATTTTTTCATGAGATTTTTTATTTGATGGTTTTTGAGTAGTTCGAGTGACGGAATGTACTTCGACAATTGTATCCATTATTGTAAATATTTATTTGATAGAAAATGATTGAATATATTCTATTAAGATTTATTTTTGATTCTTTCTTTATATAATCTTTTCTTTGTTCATTTCATATGACGATTCGGGAATGTTAAGAAAAGTAAACAACAGAGGGCAGTTGATATCAAGTGATACATATATAATCTGAACATGTCTCAAATCCGTAATCTTAATATGACAGCTGATCTAGATTGATGATGAGTAGTGTTGCCAGATCTTCCAGATTTTTATTGAATTAAATTTTATTTATTTGTTAATATTCATTTAATAGTTTATGAGTATTGTTTATCAAAATCAAAACTTAGTCATTCTAGTGAAAAGTATTCTATTAGAAACTACGTATTAATTAACAGTGGACTTTATAATTTATCACTTATATATTTAGTTTATTATATTTTGAATTTTCATGCTGATTTTCTTTTGGTATATTGAGACATGTGTTTTTTAAAACAATAAATGATATAATTGAGAACAAGATTTATAGAAGTTTATTTTAGCTGATAAAAATTAACTGTTAAAAACTTTCCCGGATTTTGACATTGAAATTCCGGTATGAGTATATTCTATGTATAATCTTGCAGTCAATTTAGAATTGACTTTCACATCTATATCATCGCTGAATTTAAATACTTAGGTTTCAAATATAATAGCACGGTTATGTTGACTTTTTTTTCAAAGTATAATTATAAATATTGATAAAATGCGTCAAATATGAGCTTTAACAGATGATTTTTACTTAATACATAGATGAATTACGAATATCTCGTTCATATAAATTATTATATGTTTTTTATTATTCATCAGAATAAATACTATTAGACATTAAAGATTAATTCAGAAGGACATCTACATAGAATTAATCATAATATTAGCATTAATTGTTCCATGAACAGATGGAAAAACTGGCAAAAGAAATATTCATATACATCAAGTTATTTATTTACAAGTTTTATATCTTCGGAATGATCAAGTACTTTGTCTTTTTAATATACAAATAAGTATTCGTAATTTCCTAAATCGTCTGTTTATTATAATTTATGAAGCTTTCAAAAATATTGCGATTTTACGCAATGCTAACAAAACAATCGTAATAAAATATTAATGAAAACAAAAATGGTAATTTTCTACTTCATTTAAGATCTCCTTGTAATATATATATATAATTATATGCGATAATATTTCTGACTGGATAACGATACATACTCAATCTGAATTCAATTAGAACAAGTATAATTAATAGAATTCTATGTACAATACAAAATATGAATATGTGACTTAATAAATTATGAAATATAAAGTAAAATAATACGGAAATCTATCAAACGTCACTTATTCATTAGATTTCCTAGTAATTGAGATCTTGTATCTATAATATTATATCATTTAAGTATTGAATTGCATTGACAAATGAAAATCATGTTTTTATGGAAGTTCATAAATAAATATATAGCGTCCTCTGTATTCTATGTGTTTTTATTGGTTCACTCAGAATAAGTAATGAATCAATTGACAACTTGTCGATTGAGTTGAATTAATCAGTGTATGTGAACACGTTCAAACGCTTTTTGAATCTCGAACAAAGAATCTCATCAATATGACCAATATCAATGTTATTGAAGCTGTTCGTTCGTATATCAATCGAATGATTGAAGATTGTGGTCCAACTATAAAAGGACTTGTTATGGATAAAGAAACGGTTTGTAAAACAAAATTGATCTAATTACATCTCAGAATATAAGATTTATTCATTTTCTAGGCATCTATTGTTAGTATGGTTTATGCTCAATCAGAAATTCTTCAAAAGGAAGTTTTTCTTTTCGAACGTATCGATATACCTGGTCAAAAATCATTAAAACATCTTAGTGCTATATGTTTTCTACGACCAACAGAAGAAAATATTCAATCATTAGTACGTGAATTACGTGAACCTAAATATGGAAATTATTTTATTTGTAAGTTGATTCCAAAAAAATGAATATTATTTGAAACGATTCAATTTAGATTTTACAAATTTCGTTGAAATGAGTGATATCAAATGTTTAGCTGAAGCAGATGAATTTGAATGTGTGCGAGTTGTACAAGAATTTTATGCTGATTATTTAGCAATTAATCCACATTTATATTCACTTAATATTCCAAATACTTATCAGGTAAAAAGAAGATTTTGTATCGAAAACAAACAAAAAAATTAATTTTCTTAGAAAAATTATGAATGGAATGATAATGTTCTTCGTCGAACAGTTCAAGGTCTTGTTTCATTATTACTTTCATTACGAAAGAAAAGTGCAACAATTCGTTATCAAAAATCATCCAATATGGCAAGAATACTTGCAGATAAACTCTCAGTAAATAAATTTTAATGAAAATAATTTCTTTTTATGTTTGAAATAATTTAGAGTACACTTAAACGTCAAGCTGATTTTACAGCATCGAATACGAATGATTACAATCAAACAATCGTTTTAATTATTGATCGTCGTGAAGATGCTATAACTCCGTTACTTAATCAAGTTTGATTAATTTTGTTTTTTAATTAATAATGAATATTTTGATTATTATTTTTCAGTGGACCTATCAAGCAATGGTTCATGAATTGATTGGGATTAAAAATAATCGTGTTAATCTTAATCAAGTACCGGGTATTACAAAAGAACTTGAAGAAGTTGTTATGAATGCTGAATATGATGAATTTTATGCGAATGTAAAAAACGAAATATGAGTTATTTTGTTATTATATATTTGTTTATTTTTGTTTAAATAGAATCTTTACAGTAATTTTGGTGAAATAGCAACAAATATTAAAGGATTAATGGAACATTTTCAAGATAAACATAAAAGTCAATCAAAAATTGAATCAATTGGTGATATGAAGGTTTGAATTCATTATGTAGCGTATTTCTTAGGATAATATTAATAGAAACTTACTGGTTTCACTGTCAGCAGTACCCACACGAGCGGGAAGGGGGGGAGGGGGAGTGTACACCCCCGAATAATTAAAAATTTTTTTTTTTTTCAACGACGAGAGCTGATTTGGGATAAATTTTCTGTTTTTTAAGCAAATTTTGCTCTAAATACCCATTTACATCCCCCCAAAAATCTTTACGCTCTTTCAAAACCCGTTACACCCCCGCCCCCAATCTTAGACCCTTCGCGCGGGCTCTAACTGTCAGGCAACATAAAATTTTATCTCTACATTTATTAAATGATGGACTTTCATGAAGAGTGTCTCTGAGAATGATTCAACGTACAATTTAAATTGAGCAACACATCACGAGTGATGTATATTTACTTCCGTAACATGTTGTAGTAGACTATAAGTGCTAGCAAGACGATAAGTATTTATCCCTGTTGTTAGCTATAATCTATACATAAATAATTGATGTAAGAACAAGAAGGAATTAATCATCTAAATGTCGTACAAGAACTCATGTTCTTCCAAGGTTGTGCTAATATAGAAATGTTATATATGTTATAACAACTGTCTGAATAAAACTTATATTATCGCTAACACAAATCTATTTTAAGAAAATCCTTTCGATTCGTTTATATAAATACATGATTTCTATTAGACATTTATTGAAAACTATCCGCAATTTAAAAAATTATCTGGTACTGTTTCAAAACATGTAACAATTGTTAGTGAATTATCACGTCTTGTTGGTCTTTATCATTTACTTGAAGTCAGTGAAACTGAACAACATTTAGTATGTCAAGGTGATCATAATGAAGTTGTGCAGGTATTAAAAAAAATACGAATTTTATATATTTTGTATTATAAATTTTTTTTTCCTTTCAAAGAAAATTAAACGTTTAATAAAAGATGATAAAATTCGTGATTTGGATATACTTCGGCTTTTATCTCTCTATGCATTACGTTATGAACAACATGCAAGTAATGAATTAAATACATTAAAACATGATGCACAAAAACATCGACGATTATCTGAAAAATATACTCAGGTATAATAAATTAAAAGAGTAAAATCTAACATTTTAATTTTATTTTCTAGTATCTTCAAGCTATAGTTGAATATGGTGGTTTAAAATTTCGACAAGCTGATCTGTTTAATACGCAAACACCCATGGCTATAACAAGACAATTTATTCGAGGATTACGAGTATAAAACAAAATTTTCATTTTCTTTTTTAACTTAATTTGGAAAATATTTTTAGGGAGTTGATAATGTATATGCTCAACATGTACCATTAATAAAAGATTTAATCGAACAATTATTACGTGGAAAACTTAAAGATACATCATATCCGAATGTTAATGCAAAAGATCAAGTCAATCAACAGAATCTATTACAACAAGGACAAATTAACAAGTTAATAAACACTATTGTTTATATAAATTTCTTATGAAATATTTGTTTTTTTTCTAGACCAAGTGAAATCATTGTTTATGTCGTTGGCGGAGTAACATATGAAGAATCCTATCATATTCAAATGATGAATAAACAAAGTGCACGAATTTTATTAGGCGGCTCATATATACATAATTTTTCAACATTTATAGATGAAGTACTTAATGGAGTATCTTCATCTTTATCCTCTGCATCCAATGAACTACTTTCATCTAGACGTCGTTAACTTATATTTTTATTCATTTATCTTGCTTTCTTTTTAATGTTGTAAAAACAATAAAATTTAGAATCATAATCAATATTTAATCTTATATTTTGTCGATTAGTTTAGGTAGAAACAGGATGTGTATTTCTTCATAGATAAGAAAAAACAATATTTAATCAAAGAAAGAAGCACTTCATAAAGATAAAATGTCAATGATTAAGTCAAATAATAACTACTACGTGTTTTTCTTTAATAATAATAATTCATTCGTCTGATTTTTTTTCTTTCTTATTTACTTCGTTAGTCCACATCGATAGTTCGCATGATATAAATCTATATTCTGTCTGTCTGTTCTCTTTGTAAGAGATTCATACATCATTTCTATCGGCGTTTGCTTTGTATTTTTTTACATTAAGTCCTTATGTTTTTCTGTTGTTTATATTCATCATGTTTTTGGCTTATATAGTTGTTAATGCGAAGATATGTGACAAAAGAACAAAAGAATGCATTTGTGCATAAAATCGATATTTACTGATCGATATCTACTTTCAGAATCAATCAATAGTTTTATTTCCTAATAAAAATGATAAATTTATCTCGTAATTCATTGATTTTTATATTTAAAATGTATTTTTTAAACGAAATTTTCTTCAGTCTATTGTTGACTTTCTATTTGAATATATATCAGTAAAGTATAGTTGCTATTGTTGAAATCCCTCTTGATTTCTATTGTTATTGGTATTTTATTATTGAAATTTTGACTGAAAATATAAAGAACTTCTAGTTATACAAATATGTGCTCTATGGATAGCGTGCCAACGTGTAGTGCGTGTGCTCCTTATAAAAAAAATTGGAGAAGCGATGGGAATTTATTGCTTCCTCTATTTTGTCTCCGCTTTGTCGATATTGATATATATTGTAGAGCATATATTTAAGCGTTATTTTACTGTTCGGTATGGACGACCTGAATAACGATGCATCAGTAAAGTAGTATATACAACTACTTCCTTCGAAAAATATTTCATTATGATACTCATTAAAACGAGCATTGCACATTAGTGAGTGTAGGTCTTGCATTCTTTATTAATTATAGAAAAAAGCATACAAATCTTTTATTTCATCGAATATACGAAATGTTATTGACATTATTATAGAAAAAATCCTTTTTTCCTTCTTTGTCGTTCTTTGATGATTAGGAAACATAGATATCCAAAACAAATACTAATCTCTGTTCTTAGAATGACGTTTTACTTGTTATATTAGTTTGTCAATATCTATACATGTCATAGCAAATAAAAACAACCAGCAATGCAATTACCAATGATTTCAAATATATATTCACGACCAACGAAAACAAGTCAATTATTAATTCGAGTACGTAGACTTTTTTTTTGTATTCTAGATCTCATTGAGAATAGTTAGTTCTAAAAGAATTTTCATTTTTTTATATATTTAGATTGTTTCTGGCGAAACCCTTTCACGCATAATAAATCGTAAACATCTTGCCTGTCTTCCACCACAATGTGTCATGCGTACATTTCAAATATGCATATATTTTCCATTATTATACAATGATCCTTGGCTTATTTTTAAAGGTATACTGTTTACAGTTCGGTTAATGTCAGCAGGGTCCCAGCTGTGATAAAAAATAATCTAAATTGGATGCATAACTATCTACAATTATCTTTTCAACATCTAGAATGTCGTACTTGTTTTTGTCGCATATGATAGAGGAATCAACACATAAACAATAAGTATGACGTTCTCTATCCTGTTTTTTTCTTTTCCATTTCATGGAGTTGATTTAGTACGCCTATTTAACGGTATTTTGTTAAACACACCATCGTTTATCTGGCACAAAAAAAGAAATCCTTCCTTATCCTATCATAGTTCTTCATTATTTCTAGAGAAGAGACGAATGTTTACATGTTTATGCAAGACTATGTGCGTACGGCTCATCGGTATTAATTGTTAGTATGATTTACGAGGTGATACAACTGTTCATATTATAACCATTGACATCAAAACAATATTTTTCTCCAGTTTTTTTCTTCGTTTTCCTTTATACTATATACACTACTGATTAATTGATTAGTTAGAAGAAAAAAACCCGACAAGACTTATACCAATACCAACTATCATTGGGTGCTTTCTTTTCTCATTCTTTTCTATATATGAAGAAAGAAGAAAAAAAAAAAGAAATCACTTGCTCGAGTTTTCTTATGAAATAGACAAGCACAGATGTTGTAGATGAGAAAAAAAGAGACAACTGTCAGTATATAAAGCGATATTTAATACAAATCTGTGCAAGTGCTTGATTAATATATACATATATATACCCACAAATTTATTGATACCCATGTATTTTGATTCAATATCAAGATGAATAGTACAACAAAACAAAATTGGAATCGAGCAACAGTACTATTCTTAATAGTTTCCATTGGTGAAATTCTTATTAACTACGGTAAGATATTTTTATATAAAAAATATTTTCATGTCAAGATGAACTTTTTTGGAATTTAAGTAAAATATATTGTAAAACAAAGGTTATAACTTATTTTTCGGAAAAATATTATTTACTAATCTACGTACACTAGAGATTGCGCACTAGATATACAAGATAAGAAAGCGTCTACTATCTACGCCTCTATAGGAGAACCTTATCTCAAGGTTATATTGTTTATATCTTTCCTATAGGGATTAACTACTTCATGGTTAATATACTAAATTACGTAGATCTTACAGAAGTATATAGTTGTGTAACTCTATCAATATTATGAGAACTGTAATTTTGACAATACATTTCATTGATATTGCTTATTCGTTTTAATAACAATAGGAATTTGACAAGTGTTTACATTACTAAATATATACTTATAAAAGGAAAATTAAAAAATAATGAATTGTGACATATTGATATACTAGAGCTTCTCTATTACATTCATCTATTATCACTCTGTTGTAACTCTTGTCTTCTTATATATGATGAGGGATTACTATTTGTACAGTGCCGATCTTTTACCTCGTTCTTTGCGGTTATTATTCATCATAACAGTAGTCTAGACTAACCACTGTGAAAGATATAAATGACTGTTTTATATATATACGTATATATATACATGTATTAAATTCCTTTTAGTTCATCATGCGATTTAGAACTTTGTATTATTGACCTTGTCCGCTGACCATTCGTTCATATAATTATAAATTGATTTTTTTTTCTCTTCTTTCTCTCATCTTTACAGACGAATATACGTCCTGACGTCTCTATTTGTATGTTAGTCAGAGAAATGAATGCACACGTTATTACCGCGTTTGTTCGATACAAACATATAACATACAAGCATACATACATATGCGCATCCTCGCCAATATATTATTTATTCGATGATATAAGTGGTGTCTATAGTTGCAGAAAGAAAAATTGACGGACGGTTATTATTCTTCACCTTGTTTATGTTGAGATTCTGTGTTTTTACCTTTTTCTTATTGATATTATTTTTTCTCTCAAATATTTTGATGAGAAATATTAATTGTTATATCGAGTTTATTATGGACATTTTTAATAATACATCTTATGGTAAGTTTGTTTAATTATAACAAATAATTGTTTCTAACAAGTATATTATTTAACGAAAAGATATTGAGAATATTTATACGATTTTGTCTATAGATCAGTTACCAATTACAGACTGGAAAAATAATCGTTCTTCATTAGAAAATATCATATAATTTGAAGGATGAAAATAATCACTTGATGATTACGTTAAATACATCCTAACAAATTATGATATAATCGCATGTAACTAATTGTTACTTGTTTGATGTTAACCTAAAACAATTGAAAATTTCATTAGTCTTCTGTCAATACTTATAGATGATTTAGTTTCCTTCGTTTTTTTTTTCATAAATAATCCTTGCATAAGCATAAACATATATATGATAGATTGTTAAAATATTGATTACTCTCTTAGGCTTCACAATATGGATTATATTCTATTTATCCATTCATTGTCGATCAAGTAAAGGTCGATGATATTTATATGTTGATCATCTGGGAGAATTTGACCACTTTTTTTATTGTTCTATCTTTTTCTAATGACAATAAAAACATGCTTTTTGCAATATTGATATGGCTAATATGTTCATGCAGAGAAAGAAAAAGCGTCCTGCTGAATATATATCTATATATATATTCCTATTCAAATAAAAGAGCGACTGAACTGTTTTACATTCATTGATAAGTGCGTATAGAGTAAAGTATGGACCTTAATCGTAGTCAAAACAAAGTGGTCCTTTTACGCTCAATGATTTCCAAATCATATCATGCCCTTGTTTGGCCTATTCGATATATTTGTAAATATTTCATTGTAATACTTCCACAGAATATAGGATCAAAAGGTAATGATGATTGTTTAAGTGTATATAGAGATAATTATTCATTTGAATAAGAAATCAATTAGATGATTTTTTTTTTGGATTTTTTTAGTCCGTCGTAATGAAACTGTCTGTTGTTTAATTGGTTTTGGTATTGGTGTTGGTTGTTGTATTCTTTATCGACTTATATCAAATTTTCTAACACCTTCAATCAATATTATTTCTCCCTATGATGTAAATAATAGCTAAATATCTAGTAATAAAAATCATATGTTTACTTTCTTTTTATTTTAGGCAAAAATATCCTTATCATCAACTAGTAAACGAAAACGAGAACATTCAATAAGCATTAAACATGAATATAATGATCGTATTCGTAATAATACTATTTCGGATGATATGACATGGTCAGAAATGTCTTCATCATTAAGCACAGTTAATCTTCTTCATGATTCTTATCATTCCAATTCGTTAACGGGTGATTCAGGTGTTGATTGTCCTGAAATACCATATCGAACTCATCAACAGTATGATGATGAAATAAAAAAATATGATTCTGATTCTGGAATTCATCATGATACACGTAATATAAAATTTTATTTTAAAGAAAAAAAAATTATTTCTTTTTTTTGTTTTTTTAAAGAAAAAGTAACTGAATCGCATGTAATGTCTTATATATCAACAGAAAAAGGTTTAGAACGTGCATTAGAACAAACAAGTCGGTTTTATACTGATCTTGAACATATTGCTATTGATCTTGGAACATTAACAAAACGATATTCTCAATCAGAATCATCCTTAGTTCATCATTCGATTGATGCACTTGATTGGGATTGGCTTGATGATATGCAAACATCACCACCATTAATTCAATCACCAAAAAATATTTATCGAAAACAATATTTTACTCGTTCAGCTAATAAAAATAAAGTTCGACGAAGATTACATACAAATATGAATCAAACAGAATATTATGAATCAGATCATGAAAATCGTTCATTTGATTATTCAACTTCACCATTAAGACGAAGTATGAAAATTTTCAAAAAAAATATTTTTCAAATTAAATAATTTCTTTTGTATTTTAGAACATAGTTCAGTTTATTTTGGTTCAACAGATAATACGAGTGATGATGATAATATTGGAGATGAAACATTACAAATAAAATCATAGATAAACTTATTTTTGTTTGTCATTTCCGGTGGTGGTGAACGATTAAAAAGCCTTATAGACAAAAAAAATAATGCTCTGGGGATACAGTGAGATCTATTTCTCTCGGTGTGTCAGATTTTGGTATGTCTATTATTCATGACACGTTTATGTACATGTTAATTTTTCTTTTCTCTTTTCTTTGTTTTTGTTTTTGCTTATTCTTATCCTTCTTCTTCTTATGGTTCAAATTGCATTTGATTATTCTGGAGAAAAAAAATAGATTGATAACTATTTCCCTTTATTTAACAACATTATTACAAATCTATGTTCTTATCTTGCATATTGTTTTATATATTAGCCATTGCTATTTGCGGCTTGTATTAGATACTTTAAAATAAATTCTAACAAATCTATTTGTGTAGATATTATTAAATGGTTATGATGAAACGAAAATATTTGTTTCCAATTATTTGTAATATTATAAACAAAGGAATTTTTTTTAGATTTTAATTTAAGAGTCTTTCAGTGAAAAATAATTAATGATTGTAACTTTTTGATATTCAGGTACTAACTTTATAGTATAAAATACATGTAGATATATCTATATTTATTATGTTTCTTTTGGTCTCCCGAACGTTGTGCATGACGAAACATGTGCATCATAAGATACGCACACGTGACTTGCGCATGTGATAAAAAATTTATATTTATGATTTGTAAGATAATTAAAGTTGAAATATTATTAAGAAGGCATATTATCAACTTCATAAGCTCATATTTATTATTAGAAATGCAAGTGTTTGTACAATAACAACAAATAAAAGTTTATTCTTCTTGCTTGATCAATAGTTTAATTGTTATAGTTCTGTTCTTGATAATAAAATATATATTTTGTTGTTTTTGTCATGTCTTTGTATTTTTGTCTCGCGCTCAATTCACCTGTGCGCAGTTTTCCTTGCGCAACATTCGTAACCCAATTTTTCTCTTTCTTTTCTTTCATGCTTAAACAAAAAAAAAGAAAAACCGAATCAAAATACATATACTTTGTTTTTTTCACTTGTTATTTATGTCAGTAATGAAGTGATGTTTAGTTCAAAATATTGACAAGATGTAAAACTAGGAAAGTTCTAAATAAAATGATCAATGAACTTGTATTGTTACTGATGAATTAATACTTGTCAACATCGACCAACTTTCCTAAAATATTTGATCATCAACAAGAACATCTATGTAAAACATGAAGATTAAATTGAATTACCAAATAATATGAGAACACTTATGGATATTTCAGAGATTCTTATGTATATATCTTTTAAATGTTTTTTTTATAGAAACATTAAAACTTTCAGTTAGTTTGTAGAGTCCATGTTCGGGTTTAATTGTTCTAAAGACATCTCTCTATTAATTATTACTTAAGATTAAGATAAGAAATCAATCAATGATCGAGAATGGATTTTCTTTAAGTAACGCCACTAACTCAAAGCTGATAAATTTTAAGAATTTACTGTTTTGTGATTCTAGAATAAATGTTATCAATTGCAATTCAACTGAGAAGATAGTACCTGATCATTGCAATACAGAAATAATAGATATAATGAAGATAGAAGTCTATTGACATATTGAAAATATGCTACAATCACCACTATATTTCACTTTCATGTATATGTCATGTGTTTGCAAACTATGACAAACGTCACAGAATATATATTTGTCTGTATATATTGCGCTTTTTGTTTGTTTGTTCTCAGTTATGTGAACAACGTATTTCTCGTCTCAATAGGTAATCTTTGTCTACTTGCTATATCTGCACAAAAATAAAATGAAATTAAGTTTTTATTGAATGCTTCACCGCTCTTATGCGAACACTAAAAAGCAGTGATTGTTAGTAGAGGTACCTTGTTGAAATTACTTTATTACTTTTTTATGCTTATTACTGCGCATCATAAGGCATACGAGTTACTAATGATGCATAATAGCTGCAAGTAGTGATTAGTATGGGTGTGGCTGTCGAATTACATTAACTTTCCTCAGACACTCACAGCCACCCTGTTTGAATATCGGCCATGGTTAATTCGGACCTGTGCCACGGATCGTCTCAGCACTGCAGTGTCATTGAGTTCGACCCACTGTCATTTCCTTCGGGATACGGAAATTTTATAATATATCCAAAAAATACAATGAAAAGATACATCTCAGAAAAGAGAGAAAGAACTGATAGCTAATCTTATCTCGGATATTCATTTGGGAACGATTATTCATACTTTATCATCACATGTGAACTCGTTCACATATGAATACATGTGCTTAGTAATAAGGAATGATTAATATTCTTCACATCTGTAATTATATCCACTAAGTTGTACAAATAATAACCTGTGTTTTATCAATTATCACTTTTTTTCAACTGACAACCGCAAGACAATATAACTTTGAGATATTACTACAACTTATATTTTATTTGGTGAATGATAATGTCTTAAGAAATGTGAATGATTAAATAGTTTGATTATATAAAAAATATTTATGATTCAGTTCAAAACAGAAAATGTCATTCTGTCTATATCGATGAATAAAGCTCAGCACTTTTGAGATAACTACTACCACTGTATCCACCAGTAACTAATACTGATCCATTTGCTAATGTGCATGCTCTGTGATATTGTCGTACAACATTTATGTTTCTTGTGGTTATCCAGGTGCCTGTTGATGGATTGTACAATTCAGCACTATTCAGATAACTACTACCGTTGTAACCACCAGTAACTAATACTAATCCATTTGCTAATATCGATGCTGTGTGAGCTTGTCGTGCGGCATTCATGCTTCCTGCAGTTGTCCAATTGCCTGTTGATGGATTGTACAATTCAGTACTATTCAGATAACCATTTCTGCCCCGCCCACCAGTAACTATTACTTCTCCATTTGCTAATGTGGATGCAGTATGATAATGTCGCCCGGCATTCATACTTCCCGTGGTTGTCCAAGTGCCTGTTGATGGATTGTACAATTCAGCGCTATTCAGATAATTATTGCTACCCTGCCCACCAGTAACTAATACTAATCCATTTGCTAATGAGGTTGCTGTGTGCCGATATCGTGCAGCACGCATGTTTCCTGTAGTTCTCCAAGTGCCTGTTGATGAATTGTACAATTCAGCACTATTGAGATAACTACCGTTTTTATATCCACCGGCAACTAATACTAATTCATTTACTAATGTGATTGCTATGTGATGATATCGTGCGGCATTCATGTTTCTTGTGGTTGTCCAAATACCCTTTGTTGGGTTGTATAATTCAGCACTATTGAGAAAACTACCGTTGTTGTATCCACCAGCAACTAATACTGATCCATTTGCTAATGTGGATGCTGTGTGATAATATCGTACGGCACGCATGCTCCTTGTAGTTGTCCAGTTGCCTGTTGATGGATTGTACAATTCAGCACTATTAATAGAAAGACCGTTGTATCCACCAGCAACTAATACTAATTCATTTGTTAATGTGGACGCTGTGTGATATCGCCGTGCGACACGCATGTTCCCTGTCATTGTCCATTCTAGATGAGGTAAAAAAGTGAGAAAAAAATGTTGTTCTTAAAATGACTTCGAATCTCTCTTGTGCATAAGCTATCCATCTATTGGTCATAGATTAAATGATTTCAAACCTTCAAGAAACTTCTTTTTGTTTTCACGATTAAGATAAGATGTATCATGAAATTTTAAATCAAATTAATGAAAAATATGTTATAAACAACTTCATTGATAGTTTTCGAGTTCTACCAATGTCGTGAACTAACGAAACTCAAACGCTATCATACAATTTAGTTATAATGAATGATGATCGAATTTCAGAATGTGAGCGAAAGTCATTCTACATTGTTCAACATAGCGGAAACAAGATGTATTTTCACCATCTTGGATGGATGGTGTATGTATGTGTCAGGGTATAAGTAAGAATGAATGTCAATGAGGATGTGAATGAGTAAAAGAATATAATTTTCGTATCTTTCTTATAAGAAAATCAGCACACCATGGGTTAATTCATGACGATGAAACACGTTTTTTTCTTGAGTTTGAAGTTTGCGTTTTATATTAATACTATTTTTTTTTAAATTACTCAACTCTATAAATATGCGATCCAAAAGATGAGATTATGTGTTCATAGACATGTCTCATGTCGATACTATGTCAACTAATACTTCAACATGGGAAATTATTCTCCGATCATCTTGAGAGTGGGTGGATGCATGTAATTACTAAAATGAGCAATGGGTTCTATCACATGAAAATCTTCTTATCAGTAATTTTTTCATCTAATACTGTTGGATAGGAGAACAATATTCATTACTTAGATGAATGTAGATCGAATCAAATCATCAAAATTTGACCGTATTCAGACTTCTGATAGGAAATGTAATCTAATGTTGTCTATTTAGCTGGTGATCATTAAATAGCTGAAATTAAAACTGGTAAATATCGTTACTTCTAGTAAAACTCATCTTTTGAGTCCCTGCAAATAATTTAACATAGTACTCACTCGGTATTGCTGTTGTTGTCGTTGCTGTTGACGAAGTTGTTCTTGATGATGTTTTTGAAGTTGTTGTTGTTGTTGATGGTGTTGTTATCGATGATATTGTCGAGGTTGATGATGACGATGATGATGATATTGTTGTCCACATTTTTGTTTTAATTATTGTTGTTGTTTTTGTTATAGGTTTTTTTGTTGTCGTTGAGGATGTAATTTCACTCTTCACTCCGTTTGGCATAATCACATTATGAAAAGTTGCCTGGTTTATTTGATCTTCTGTTATTTTAACTCCTGACAAATCACTGTTTGAAAAGTATGCACCTGTCAGATCTGTTTTTCCAAAATCTGCGCCCGACAAATTTACACCATTAAAACTAGCACAAAGTAAAGATGAACCATCAAATTTCGCGTTATCCAATCGTCCTCCATCAAATGATACACCATTTAAACTAGCAAATGAAAACTCCGCATTTGACATTGATACTTGATCAAAAGAAACGCATTGTAAATTCAATTGATTTAATACACCTGTTTGACTTGCTAAATGTACATTATCAAAATTTAGCTCATCCAAACGGATTATATCATCTAATTTTGTTGCTCTACATCCATTAGAACAATTATTTCTGCCAATTAATTGCTTTTCTTTAAGAAATTGTATAACATCTGCTTTACGCGTTGTATCCCATTGACGATGAGCAGCACGATAATATGCATTTGCAAATGCCCATGGATTTCTTGTGTCGTTGAGATAACCATCTTTATCTAATTTATAAATATTATTTAAAAATTCATCATAAAGTGTTTCTTGTCTTAATTGTGCTGATTGTTTCAAATCAAACTGTCGCATTTTTTCAGCTTGTTCCAAATCAAACTGCCGTGTTTTTTCAGCTTCTTGTTTCTGTTGTTGAGACCCAATTGCAGTATAAATAGCAAGAGCTATGGGTATAGCAGCTGAACATAGAATAGTTAATATATCTTTAAATGTAAAATGCCAAAACACCCGTTTGTTAATATCTACCATTGTCTCAATCTGATTTCAGCATGAGAAGTAAAATATTGTGCTATTCTTGAATATTAAGAAAATACAAATGCTATACTGATAATTAGTCGTTCTCTTTTTTTTCATTCCTCTCTTATTTAACAACATATTAAGTAACAGTTTCTAATTTTGTTTTCAAAATCAAATGTTATAAAAACAAATTTTAAAAATTAGTAAATATTCATTACAGATACAATAATAATTAGAAAAATAGTTTCTTGTTACTTTCAGTATATTGAACATTGAATTTGATCTATAATAACAAAAATATAGAAATACCGGTAAATGATCATTGCTAGAGCCGAAGAAAGAAGAAAACTTATACTGTTGATTTAAATCTCGAAGATTTCTTCGTTTGTCTAAATAGGATACAAAATCAAAGAACTTAATTAATTCTCCGAAACAATGGCAAATATATTTTGGCAACAAACTATGAAATGAATTGGTCATATCCATTACAAAGGTCTACAAAAGAAAAAAGAAAATGGATACTCTGGATCTGATGAACTATTTTTTTAAATCAAATCCTTTGTTCCACACAGACAGTTCTGAATAGATATTTTTCTTTCAGAGTTTTTATGTAGAAACCCTTGATGTGCATAAGTTAGTCTAAAAGTGTAGTACAAATAGTTTTATAGCTGATTCAAATTATTAAGATTTGTAATTTATTAAAATTGAAAATATAATTAAAAGCAAAATAAATTTGTTATGCGTGATAATAAAACGAAAAGAAGACTAAACTATCAATTGGATCAATCTATTATTCCTGTGTATTTCTCAATGAATTCTATTAAGTGCGAAAACATCATCGAAAAACTAATGAGCAAAAACAAGTTTTTCGAAATACTATCGAATGAAAATCAATAAGGAAAGTTATGAACATAACTTATACTCAAAAAAGATCATCAGACATATTTTTATTTTTCAGTTATGTTAGATATTGAAATTTTGTTAATGTTCATATAAAATAAACATTTCATTGACATTATTCTTAAATTAATCAACTAGACAGCAATGATTTATAAACTTCTTTCAGTTTACTATTTTCTATTACTTCTCTTGCTGAAGAGTTACTCTCTCTATCACTCAACAAAAAATATCAATTTCAAACAGAGAAATGGAAATATGATCTATTTACATAATTATATGCCATAGGCATTTATCATTCCCGTAATTCAATTACTACAACAATTTCAAACAGAAAAATCATCTTATCGATATTATGTTAGATCTTGATTTTAAGTAAATAACAGAAAAGATTTTTCAAACGACAATAACCTATAACAAATAAAATGTTTGTTGAGTCAAGCTGCTTGTATAATTGAAAGAAATTATCTAAGTGTAAATATTATTCATAATTGCATTAATTTAAATATAATTAGACTGATCATTAAAATGGGTGGCTGGCTATAGGTGTGGGTGTGAATGGGTGTAGATATTATCTTTATACCACACTTATCCTTTCTAAAATTCAACAATGATGAAACTGTTTAATAAAAAAGAGATTTATTGGTAAAAATTGATTTGTTTGAACATATTATTCAGTTATTCATTTCTGATATTCACCTTGTAAACGATTATTCATACGTTATCATCATATGGGAACTCGCTCTAATCAGGATAGATGAGGTTAGTAATAGCGGCGGCGCCAGGATTCTTGACCAGGGTGGGCTCAGGCCTAATAAATTTCAAAGAGGGTGGCCTCAGGCCTAGTAAATTTCAAATAAGGTGGGCTTAGATAGAGTATCATTGGTTTTTTTAAGATCTGAAAAAAATTTTAGGGTGGGCTGAGCCCACCCTTGGCGCCGCCACTAGTTAGTAACAAGCAATGGTTAATACTGTTTACATCTGCATTCATATCCACTCAGTTGTACAAATATTGATCTGCCTTTTATCAATTATAGCTCTTTTTCAACAATCCCCACACAATATGAATTCGAGGTATAACAGTAACTCGTATATTAATTGGTGAATGATAATGTATTAAGCAATGTGCATGATTAAATAGTTTGATTACATAAAAAAAATTTATGATTCAGTTCAAAAAAGAAAATGTCATTCTGTCTATACCGATTAATAAAGCTCAGCACTATTGAGATAACTACTACCGTTGTATCCACCAGTAATTAATACTTTTCCATTTGCTAATATAGATGCTGTGTGAAGATCTCGTACAACATTCATGTTTCCTATAGTTGCCCAGGTGTCTGTTGATGGATTGTACAATTCAGCACTATCCAGATAACTACTACCGCTGTAACCACCAGTAACTAATATTAACCCATTTTCTAATGAGGATGCTCTGTGATATTGCCGTGCGACATTCATACTGCCTGTAGTTGCCCAAATGTTTGTTGATGGATTGTACAATTCAGCACTATTCAGATATCTGCTACCGTTGTATCCACCAGTAATTAATACTGATCCATTTGCTAATATGGATGCTGTGTGTTGTCTTCGTGTGATACTCATCTGTCCTGTAGTTGTCCAAGTGTCAGTTGATGGATTGTACAATTCAGCACTATCTAACGAGGGAAGGTCCCCAAGTGTGAATCTCAGTTTTTAACGGGATATA